CATGTCACTTGTCGAAACTGAGTGCAATTCATATATGTATCAATCAGCATTTCACAAACAACCAAATACAATCATCAACATAAGACAAATATTAGGGGATAATATCAAAATACTCTACAGCACCCAATGCAAGAAAGAATCAAAATCCAAGAAGCTATTATTATACAAAATAAACAACTATTTTTATTTTAATATACATCTTATTCAAAAATTGGAAAAATACAATAAAAAAATTAAACAGACCTTTTTAATTGAGTTTAATAAAACTTGATTGTAGTGTGCATATATATATATATATATATATATATATATATATATATATATATATATATATACACACACACAACATGTGCTAAAGAATTCCACATAATATTGGTGGTGGAGGGCATACTGGGATTTAAATTCTACATCTTTCACTGAACAGGGCATATACTACAAGTGTGATTTCAAATACTGAAAGTTAAGAAAGTATTTCACTAGTGTATGTGGACTTGATTTTTTTATTTTTTTTTTATTTCACTCCTAAATGACAGTGAATATATTTACTTTACATAAATTACTATAAGTGATACCACTATTTTTTTCTCTTTAATCTTTCTTTATCTATAATTCTCAAAATGTTTGTGTGTGTGTGTGTGAGAGATTGGATGTTATTTATGCATTTCCACAGTTTTCATCAGATTTTGATGAATTTTTTTTGTTTGATAGATAATTCTTCAGTGCCGGTTTTGAGTCCAAATTGTTGTCAACAATGGCTTTCCACTACTTCCTGTTCATTATAACTCTCAGCAACGTTTTACTATTTATTATCTGTTCTTGGATATATATTTCAACAACTAAGGAAAAATGCCTCTTTAACTTCTGCTGTGCGTGAGGATGAAACAAGATTGAGAATGTAGAAACGGTCCTTTTCAGGGCTATCCCCCATTCAAATTATTACCCCCCCCCACCACCACCACTCCATTTGGGGATGTGCCCCAGTTGCATCCAATTGTTGTTACTAATATTGATTTTTGGGTGGTGGGCTGACTTTAAATTTAAACTACTCCAACTGAACGGTAAAAATTCCCAGTAATGAAAGACCCGGCTGATGACGGGTTATACTGCTAGTGTACCTATAAAATAAAGTCAATGATTAGATCATATTTCCAAAGTTCATATTTTTGTTGGCTGTACAAGCAAACAGAAGTAAGTAGATAATTGCAAAAAAGCAAGTAAAATGGAAATTGTACTTAGTGGCATCATTGTACAAGATACTAAACACTTATTCAGCTGAGATTCAAAACTTAATATGAGGCACTTCATAACAGGTCTTATTTGGAACTATACAAGATGAAAGTCTTGATACAGATAGAAAATTGGATAGAACAGAAGACATTTTCTACATCCAAATATCAATAATAATTAAAATATCAAACATAGGAAACAAAAACAGGATAATAAAAATATACTTACCTCTTTTCTGATCATGGTGTCATTTTTATAGTTTGAATTATTGGCATAACGTAATTTACCTAGAAAAGAAATATTAAGATTAAAGAAATCTGAAGGGAAGAAAAAAATTAAAATTAAGAATAAATATCAAGATTTTTTTTCATGGCTATTAAATAATAAAATCTCACAAAAAAACAAAAAACAAAAAAAAAAAAACACAGGTATTTTTTTTTTTAATACTTTAGTTCACCTGATTGAAAGTTACTCAAGATAGATGATTACAGGCAACAAAATGGTAAGGCTGAATGAGGTGTGTGATATGAATGAAAGAGAAAGGAGTGAGAAATGAAGATTAAGAAGATGGGGGTGGTTGGATGACAATTGACTTAAAGAGGTTGAGTGTTCAGGGAAGCAACCATATGGGTGTCCGTTTAACAAAGTGGTAGTTTTTTTTTTAAATGAAATTTTCTTATATTGGGAACATAGAAGAAATGAAAAAGATTCAACTATGTGTTAGTAGCATGGTGTATCCTAGCTGTAAAGGCCTGAATTGATGGAACTAAAGAATGGAGCGCTCATCTGAACATAAAGATGACAAGATTAATGACAGACTTGCAATGGTGCATCTGTGAGAAAGCAGTTGCAAAAAAACAAAAAAAAAACAAACGGACATTACAAACGTGGTATAAATTATATGAAGCTAGTAATACACAGTAAAAATTACAGTGGAAACTTTAAATCATTCTAATATGTACATTGATGATAAGCAAAGAAACACAGAAAGTCTAATTTTTTAAAAGTCTAGTTTTAATTTAAAAAAACAAAACAAAAAAAAAACTCAATCTTCAACAAGACTGATGTTTAATTCATGAAAACTGAAAAGATATGATTGCATAAATAATCTTTTAGGCAGAGGTGAAATTAAAGATGAAATCTGGAGGAACAACAATTCAATCTAGCTTTAATGATGAAGTATTTGTTAAAAATAAGATCATTTTAAAAAGTGATATAACATTTTTGTTCTGTTCAAAGCAAAGCATTTTTTCCTTAAATTTTCAGTACTTTTCATAAGATTTTGCTTAACCAAATGAAATTATTTCACAATATCTCACATCACCCAAAATTACTAATTCATTGCAGGAAAAAAAATCACACATGTGTGTGTATTTTTAAGAAATACAATTTTTATATTTTCTCATTAAACAATTTAAGTTACTTAACAGAATTTAAAAATTCAATTAACGATAAGGTTTTTCACAAATCATTTGCATTATGAAAATAAAGATCACAGAATTCGAACTGAAATAAGTTTACCAGTTCTTCAGAATTATTATTTTCTATTTTTGTGGTTTCAATGCTGAAAACAATGTTAACTATGAATAATCCAAGGGACATAACTAATGAATTTCTGTCAATTCCTAGGATGAGGAGTTATCATTATTTACACGCGGACTTTTGTTCATATCTTTGTTGTTGTTTTCAGAACATTTTGGTCGTTGTGTCCTCCGGCCTTCATCAGCCTTGTAAAATAATGAATAACTAATGAAATTTCGAAACTTCCCTGTTTAATACATAGACAGCCAAAATAACTGTCTATTGAACTTGCTTTTTAAGAATATTAAAAAGTGGGACAGGCAAGTGCAATTCATTTTTTTTAATGTAAAAGAAAAAATTTACAAATGAAAATATCAAAAACTGGGTTTTTATCCCATTAAAAAAAAAAGATAAAAGATTTACCTATGAAAAATAATTTAAAAAAGCAGAAGTTCTTTATTTGGTTTGCAAAGGAAAGGATACCAATTATTGTTTTCTAAGGCGGACATCTTCAATTACCGGTAAAATGTCAGTGTAAAAATGATTGATAACCATGTGCGATTATTGTTATTTTTACGACCGAATTTCATATTACAATTCATTAAAATTTAAGGCAAAAATCCTACTTAGTTTACTTATGGTGAGGTATATAATCTACTAAAAAATAATATAAAATTATTACACAACTTTTAGTGTTCGTTCCAGATCTAAAAAAAAAAAAAAAAAAAAATGTAAAAAACGAACAAAAACTATATGTATTGTAATGTAAAAATGTTTGCCAATCAATACATTACATACATTTAAATTACAATTAAACAGTCAAATGTCCGTTGGAATAAATAAAAGTACATTTTTCTTTATTTAAACAATTAAAATAAAAATAAAATGGACAACAGTTGTTGATTAATGAAACTTAAAAGTTGATTTTTTTTTAATCGCTTAAACCAGGAAACATGAAACAAATGTTATTAGGTTAAGTTTTAATTTTAATAACTATTCACTTCAAGTCATGCAATATTTATTTTGAAGCAAAAAAAAGACTAGTTTTTTAAAAAATACCCTCTTCTGATCGAATTTTTACATTATTCGAGACTGGAGTATTATCCCTGCTTTTATAAAAACTTGTCAATAGAAAAAAATATTTGATCTATAAATAATTATCACAAAATATACAGATCACATTCATTTACTTTTTTTAGTTTTTAACACAAACATTTCTATTTTTACTTTTTGTTGACAATGCAACGCAATCGAAAGCGTAGCTACGTATATTTTTACAAAGCGTAGCTACGTATATTTTTATTCCGAAATTTGAAATAATTATTAATTTTGTTTGATTTTAATCAAGTAAAATAAATTCATTGGAGATTTTTATGTTTAGCGAAAAAAGAAAGTTAAACATGCGTTAATTTAAAACTGAGTGCTTCCGGTGATTTGTTGAATAAAGAGACATCTTCATTCCAACGTGTGAAACACTGATGGCACATTTTTATATAAAACGTTATTGTTTAAGCAACATAAACAGAATAAAAATTTATTAGATTCTGGCTTACCATCTGGTCGAAATTCAAACTCTAAGAATTCATGTCCAAACTTTCCTTTATGTCCAACATAGTACCGCAAATAAAAATCCGTACTGGAGCCCATCTTGGAATCGACCGCCAACTGCTGCCATCTACCGGTTTAGAAAACAGGGGAAGATAATCACACGTTTCTGTTTTAATATTTTTTAATTTTAATAAACAATTTAGCAAAGTTCTTGTATTGTTTCAGATTTTCGTCATGACCACTCTCTAAAAAAAAGAAAGAAATGCCAGAAAATAATTTATAATCTTACTTTTGTAAAGTTTTTACCAATAAATGTTAAATATCTAATTGAAACTAATACATTTAAGAATGTTATGTTAAGTTTTAACATAACATTCTTAAAACATGACAAGTAACAATGTTATTTGTCATGTAAAAAATTTTGTTTTTTTATTCATTGATTCGTTTTCTACGGCTTATCAACTCTTTGCAGGTTATTTAAAGCCAGAAAATATTTTTAGATTGCACAAAGTTTTTTGGCGATAATAATTTACTAATACAAAAGTCTTCCTAATTAACCCATATCTGAGGGGAGAAGAAGTGGATTTATACCTTTTCCAAGTGTATTTGCAGGTAAGTTAGTATAAGAACCCAACTGGAATTGAAACTTGGCTCTCCAATTAACAATTCCGAGCCATTATTCATTGCATCACCTGCACATCCGGGCTTACAGCACCTGGTATTCCCAAGTAGTCACCCATCAAGGTACTGACCAGGCTCAACATTGTTTAACTTTGGTGATCGTACAGGGACAAAGATTTTGTAGAGAATTTCTATTACAAACAATATCTTACTAGAAGTTCAGGAGTGTTTTCTTTCCATATTTTTTTTGTAACTGTAACCAAAACTTTAAGTATACCGCTATAGTGGCGTGGGGCTGAGGGATTATTACAATTAACATTTTATTTAACCACACCAATGAAAGATGATTATGATGAGGAAACACACAGGTAATTTTAACAAAATGAGATAAGGAATTTATTCACAAATTTACATGCTTGAAGTAGTGTCAGTAGCTTGTTTCAGGAAAATAAATCAGAATTCTTAAAGTCTGTCATTTCAATCCATTGTCATAAAGAGGAAATGTTCATATAACAGATTAAATGATCTGGCACAAAATAATATCCAAAAATGTTTAAAACAAAGGTAACAGAGTTTGTTGCTCACTGAAGGGATATATTGTTTGCATACACTTATAGTGGTTGCTATGTTTTTCACAACCACATACACTCCAAGTCATTTTATTCACCTGCGATTGGCTAATAAATTACTACCTTTGTATAGGACAATTTAGCCATCACAGTCGTTCCTTTGAATCTTTTGGTTCTGAGCATGCTTACCTATTCTGTTTAGTATATGTGTAGTGATTGGTTAATTTTTAACCAATCACATATTTTTAATGTAAGATCAAGTTTTCCCACAGTTCCGTGGGAGCTCATTCTTTTCTTAAATAGGCTTATTTTTCGAAGTCGCCAGTAAGATCCCAGCCACAACACAAATCCACGATCTTGCTCATCACACTCTAATGTACACACAGACACGGAATTTCATAACTACAAACTTACATTTTCTCTCTGTAACTTTCGCCAAGCACAATCAACCAGAACTTTGTTGATTCAAACCAGTTTATTCACAATACATTTCAAGCAATTGCATTCTTGGTGTTATTCATTCTTCACATGCAAACTTTGCTCTAACAATTATTTCGGAACATTTATCTCACAAGAGAACTTTCTTCAAACAGTTGATTACAATCAATCTACAGTCAAAGGGAAACAACTTCCTTCTCTTTAATCTACATTGTGAATACGATTTTATTTCATGCTTGTTGTTGTATTTTATTCAATATATATTTGTTGGTTAACAAATTGGAGTTGATGTTATTATTTCTTGATTCCTGTAAGTGAAAGAATCATTAATATAAATAGTAGTTGTACCTATATATTTGGTGTTCCTGCTACATTTAGTGAATTGACCCAACACTATATTTGGTATGTACGCTACATGCTCAAAAGTGGATGTAGAGAGTTTGAAATAGCTTTCTTGGATTATTGAGAGAAAATTCTTTGGTGTGCTGCATGCTGGTTAGAGGCTGATAATATAATTGGAAAGTAATTTTACACTGGCAAGAACTTCAATGCTGGTTACAAGAACCTTTCATGTGACTTCTGACACTCTTCTTTTTTTAATTTAATTTTTCTTCTCATTTTATATAAAAAAGAATTTCATGTAGCCTTGCTACTTTCTTTTCTTTTTCTTCTGTGAGGGCAAGGTTTTCATTGGTCCAAAAACAATTTCACATATGCTCACAAATTTCTTTCCTTCTTCTTTTCAGCTCACCGGTCAATTTCTGTAACGGCAAAGTTTTCATTGGTCCAAAGAAAATTTCACATAGGCTTGTGAATTCATTTCCTTCTTCTTCCTCAGTTCCCCAGGAGCGAGGGAAGGGAGTTATTATTATTTTGTGCTCATTACACTTCTATAGATTAACTGTTAAAAATGAACATCATTTTACTGTTATGTGAAGAGTTAGTTGTATCAAGGATAGAATGAATTTAATGATTAGAGAATTGTTTTCCAACATCAGAATTACAATTCTGTAGAGGCTGTTTGTATATGTGCATGGTTGTGTGTCTTTGTTACAAATAATATCTATGAACAAGAAGTGGAAAAAGGATTAGTGAGGATTTTCTTCAAGAATGGTTAATAATGAAAGAAAGTTCAAAAGTTCATGGTAGGAAGTATTTTAAGTGTCAGGTTAAAATGTGGATTGTGTAGAAATGAAAATAGTGCTCAACTCATTTACCTGATTGAAACAAAGGTTCTACTTACAAACACAATAGGAATAAGGAAAGATACCTTCCAGAAACTAAGCAAAGTATTAAAACATAGGAAAATATTGTTAGAAATAAAAAAAAAAAAAAAGAGAGTAATGATATGTGCAATATCTAATTTCCCATATGGTAGTGAATACAGAAAAAGAGACTTGAAGCAACAGAGATGTATTTCTGCAAACAGGTGTGATGAATATACCATGGACAGAATATGTGAACACTGAGAAATTCTTAAGGAAAATTGGAACCTTAAGAAACTTATACTTACAATGGATTATCATACAAACCAAACCTCAATTATTACTGAATAGTGAGTTTGATCCTCACTGGGTGCCCCATACTTTTGGCTTTGTGCTACATCTAAGCTATGCTTATAAAATCACCATACAAATCAAACCTATGAGTCAAAAATAGGTTTGATGTCTGAAAAAACCCAGTGTGTCAAAAGTATGGTTATCCCCTTGATATCATTATTACTTTAACTACCTTCACTCTTTGGCAATGTTTATTGTTTTAAAAAAAGATGATCAGAATTTTAATAAAAATGCAAACATATGAAAGTAGATTTATACATTTTCTTTATTCTTGAGAACTGAACGAAGATATTAAATACAATTTATTCATTAGATTATTTATTTACAAGAACGATTTTATATTTACAAGATTATAAAAATATCTGAACCAACTATAATGAAATATTTATGTTGTAACCTAGGAAAGGTTACTGAATAGAATAATTTTCTTCATTAGTTAAAAGATTACAAAATGTATCTCTTTAAACCATGCTTGTTCACAAAATCTATTTCGTTGGGTTTTGAGATCATCAGACTTAAACCTCTTTTTGTACAGATTTTTGAAATCCAAATTTTATACCTGTACCTTTTATAAACTGCCAGGGTTTATTTTGGCAGTTCTTTTACAACATCCATTTGAGCCTGACATATACAAAGTTTTACACATCAAATTTTATTCAAGCCATTTCTTTTATTAAACCTTTGGATTCATTTTAAGGCTGCCCACATATATTTTGTGAGCTCAACTGTACTAAAGATGTTATAAATATGCATGAAAGATAAACATGAAACTCAGGAGATTAATATTCAATATGGCCACCTTGACTAATATTTAGTTGTTCAATCCTGCTAACAATGGACAAAATGGCAATAATCCTTCAGATTATTTTGACTTATGAGAGGGTTTTGATATACCTTCTGGATTGAAAATTCCGTTCAGTCTTTTAGTTAACACTCACCTAAAGACACAATTGTTTTTGACAATTTTAACTTGCTTAGCTATTTGAGTAAAAGTTTAAAATTGGCACAATTTTGTCCAGAGTAACAAACTAAGGTTAATTTTTCAAAGTGATCTTTCTTTGAGAAAACAGGTTTGAGTTGGTCAGTGATACTCTTGCATGTTAATTTAAAAGATCCAATTAAAAAAATTCCATCCTGATTGTTTCTGACTGTCAAACACAGTAAAAGAGATTTTTTATATGATGCGTTTTCTTTTCATCAGGGTTTCATGAAAAATCAACCATGAAAAGTAATTTAAATGCTGCAAAATATCAGTATATTTTACAATGTGGAGTGCTTTCCACTGGCTAAAGGCTCTATCCTGATGAAAATATTGTCTCCCAGTTGAACAATGCTACTTGTCATTATAGTGAGCTTATGCTTGAACAACATCAAGAGACACTGACAATTGGCTGTAGAGGACATATATGGTAGCAAAGGTAGATGACTGGTGCTCTTAAAAACTTAGATTTTCAAAAAAATCTTTCACTTTTGTTTCCTTCACCTGTGTGTAGGATTACACATCCTAATGAGAAGTACACCTTTCTAGCTAGTCAGTAAATAGTACTTTTCTTTGTTCAGAAATGTAAGGTTTTGGACGTTGACATTGTTATTCACAAAAGTCATACATTTCTTCATTTTATTAATTTATTGCTATTTTATGGAATAAATATTTTATAAAATTTTAACCTGTTGTGTATTTGCTTTCATTCTGTATCATTTTGTTGAAAACATTTTTTGTGGTATAGATACCTTGTTGGAGTTAGCTCCTCCTTAATTCCCTAATTGTTCACTAGGGGTCGCTCTCCCTTCACTATAAATACTGGGCAACTTCTTGCATCGTTTTCTTTTTCATTTCTTCATTTCAGCAAACACATCTACAATGTAAGCTCTCATAGAAGATAGTGTCTTCCCATTTGTGGAAGACGCCGTGAACATTAAACACACATACACATACGTACGAACATTCACCAAAATACAAACTCTTTACGTTCACACACAAAAACAAATATTGATGTCTTTGTCACTTGTAAATTTGTTGTTTAATACATATATTTGTTGACATATATATATCACTCTTGTTTGTTTTCTTTACATCTTCAGTTGGACTCAACTTGAGTCTGCCATATTTGTGTAGTTGGACCTTTTAGCAGGAATAAACAGCATGATTTCCTAATTCAACAACACTCAAACCCACACAGTCCTCTACAACCTCCTCTGTAAATATACATATCACTTTGTGATGATCATCATCACACATATACATACATACTTACACAAATTCAAATTATACAACAACATGCTATTGGATAATAATTCAAAACTACTGTGTAATGGACAATTTATAAATTGCAGCTATGTAACAATTTTATAATCGCTATATTTTCATGTAGTCGATTTCATGCACTTTTGGGAGAATCGGATCCCAGAAGCTTTCATGAGTCTCCCCAAAGCTCGCTCGCTGATTGGTCAATGCTAACCAATCAGATTGTCTGCATGTGAAGAATGATTCTTCCCGCACAGTGCTTCGGAGCTGATGATCACCTATAAAAGCAAGAAATATTCTTAGATAAATAGTGAGATTTCAGCTGCCAAACGAATCCACGACAATTGAAACCATGCACCAATCTTCTCACTCACACCACCACTCACATGCTGAATATTCCCTATACTCACATAATTTTTTTCTTACACTGCAAAACTGTTGAAAACATTTATTACCAGAAACTATCACAAATTTTCTTTCAGTGAACCTTGAAACACAAATAATAGTTAAAGAGAGACAACTCTTGTTTTACTCAATGCATGCCTTTCTTTCACATCCTTGTTTGTACATCTTGTTAAATACAAATTTTATGTGTAATGATGTCTTTGGCTTATCCTTTTTTCTTCACGTCAGTTAAATTAATGTGGTGAAGTCCGCCACAACTTCACTATTATGCTAGATCCAAAATTTGTCTGATAAAAGACTACTATTCTGGCTTAGCTAGTGAAAGGATGCAAATTCAATTAGGGGCATTTGAAGTTTTATAAAAAAAAAACAGATAGGAAATTCTCTAACAAAGATTGTTTGTCCAAGAAGTTTAACTACATGTTGATTTTTGCTAAAAATGAGTGATCAATGACAACAAATGAAAGTTGCAAAAACGGTCATATTGAACATCTAATTCCTATTTCTTAAGCTTGACCATTGTGTTTACCTATAAAATTATTTCCACATTATAGACAGAAACTAATGATGTCTGCTACCTCCTTTTTTATACAGGTGCATATATATATATATATATATATATATATATATATGGAAACATAAATTTTAAATAATCTAGTATAAATAAAACTTTATATATGGCCTTTCTATCAATAATTATAAAATCCCACTTGTTTATTACAATGCCTGACTTAAAACATGAAAAATTTAATTTAAGTTTTTCTTTTATTGATTCTGACAAAAATTCTACATATGTAACCAAAATTTTCTGCTATAAATTTGTTAGTTGATGTAATGAGAAAAAGGAACTATTTTAATAATAAAAAAGTCAACACAATAGAAAAAAAATTAATACCATTTTAAAATCAAGTTTTGTTTGCTTGCGTCAGTCACTTTTAAAATAATAAAACCAATCAGAAAATTGTTACTATTCATGGTGTCAGGTTAAGTCACATGACCACGTTATCATAAAATTGAGTTTGTTCTGAAAGTTGGCTTTTTGCCCAAGTGATTTGTAGGGCATTTTGCATTATCCTTCAAAAATTGTTTTATATTTACTCTGTAACGTTGAAAGAGTTAGCTTTTATTGTGAAAAATTACTCTTCTAAAAATTAAACCTTCTAAAAATAAGTAAATAAATAAATAAATAAGTGTCCGTTTCGTGTTGTGTAACAAGTCGTAATTTTGTAGGTAACCAGAATTTAGGGCGCATGCGCACTGCTAGTACTTAATGTTTCCTGTGCCGCGCCTTGATTCAACTTTGGCCGATTCGTCGGATTTGATTTATTTGGAAAATGCCGACTTACAAAGGTAAGCGATTTCGTTTTGCTATCATCCACCAAGCAATGAAACACTTCCGACAAGGCATGGGCATTTCGCACTGATCATCAAGTTCCCAATGAGCCCAAATTGCTTTTAAAATAAAATACCAAATCAATTCTCTAACAGAATTGTTTTGTGTTCTTAATGTATTTTACACAGCAGTAGACGACGATGGCGATGATGATGTCCGGACCGATCTCTTATTTTACTTCGTTTTTTAGAAAAATAAAGAATAGAAGACCTAGTATTTCTTTTAAAAAAATTAACAGTTGTTCACCATTGATGTTTCGTTTCCTTTTTACATTGATTAATCTCTTTAAAACCAAGAATTAACAACTAGGAATATGAATGTAAATGTCTTTTGTTACCTGTCTTCTTTTCTACTCGTAATGCGTCTTGAGTTAAATAATGGGTAAAAAAAGTAATTCTTATTAATTAGGGGTATTATTGTTGTTTGATTAGGAGTTACATTCTAAGTAAGTGATATGAGTTTTGTTATCTGATATCTCTTAAAAATCTGCTCTATTTTCTATTCCAAATGAAATACTTGTTCAATGAATGTTCTGCTGAATCTTTCCAAATAAACCTTTCATTACCAAAAGAGAAAAATTATGAGAGAAAAACAATTTTATTACCAAATTAATAATCCAATTGCCTCCCACCCCTATCAAGCCTGGAAAATAAATTAATTACAAAGTAATAATAATTTAAAAATAGGAAGCTTTTTTTTCCTTTTCTTTTTTTTTTTTTTTTTTTTTTTTTTTTTAAAGATTTTCTAGGGCAGCCATGGATTTTTGAAAAACTTAGAATGAAAATTAAAAATAACTTACAAAAATAGTTTTCTGATCTTATAATCCCAATAAAGGCCTTTTGACTATTTTTCTTAGTAGTTTGGAGTAAGACTCTTGTGATGTTCTATTTAAATTTAAGTTTGCTTTTAGTTGAGTCTATTTGGTTCTTGTTGGTTTCAATTTCAAGTCAACTGAACATTTTCAATTCATTTTACTACTTTCTTTTTCATTAATCGTTTAAAAAAGAAGAAAAATACAGAAACACATACTCATTTTTTAGTACTTTTATATCTTTTTAGAAAAACGATTTTTGACAGCAGTAAGATGTCTTTCTCTTGAGTTGGTAGAAATTAGAAAAGGAAATTATTAAATCGAGCCGGCTGTTGTCAGCAATACTACACATTGATTACCGGCACTTTACATTACAATAATAATGTAATAATGAAAACTTAGAATTGAATGACTTTTAATGTAACGATTTAGATTTAAAATTTGATTTTTATTATCAATATATCGTCAATCATAAAAAAAATATGTAACATTTTAATTGAGAAATCTTTTAAAAGAAAAGTAAAAAACAAAAAAAAACTTCAAATACTTGTCAAAAATTGTCTATTTTTTCTTTAAAAAATTTTACATCAAGACTCAAATTCTTTCTTTAAAAAATCCTTTTTCTTTTAAACCGAATCGCTGAAGTGCAAGGCATATATATTTGTGTTTATTAATTATTCTGTATTTTTCTTTTCTTTCGCTTTCATCCCACCGTAAAGGTTTTTTCCGCCTCAACGTGGACAAGTATTAGTGACCCACGCAATAATTAGCGTTTGGTTGAAACAGGAGGAGGGTGAAGATAGATTCCTCTTTCTTTCTTTAATTAGGAACTTCGGTTAGCGTAAACAAATCCGAAACAGTTTTTTTAAGTAAAAAATAAAATCTTTTTTTTTTTTTTTTTTTAATCGTTTATCTATTAAATAATAAAAACATCTTAGTATTTCTTGAATTTAAAAAGTGGGTACCCCCCCCCCCAAAATTCCATTGAATGCTGCTTATGAAGGTAAATCTAAAATGGTCATTTCCTTGCAAATCTGAATAAATTATTAAAAAAAAAAAAATTAGTTAAATATTTTCTATGAATGGTGCCTGCCAAATCCGTGGGAAATAATAAATCTTTAGGTACATCAGAACTGAATAGATTCTACCTTTGCAGATTAAGAAAATTATTTAAGTTAATTCAACTGCATCTGACGTGACATAAGTATCGATTTGAATCCCACGGGTACTTAATGAATGTATTGTATTTATTTTAACTCCCGTTTATCATGGAACAGGAAATACGCAACAAACATTAGGGAAATTATTCCAATTGAAATTGGTTCTTTGGTTATCATTTCATTAATTTTGTTGATATGAATTTGTTTTAAAATGATTAGGTGGGATTGTTTTCGTGGGCGATCACATGCATGATTTGTCCTTGTTCTTGAATCTTCGATGTAATTCTTCTCACGTTTAAAAAATTGCTATCACTTGTGGACTAAGCTTTGTATATTGCAGTAATTTTGATTAGTTTATTTGTTGTTAGCATTTTAGAAAACTGTACCTCTCAAAGTGCATTGCGTTTAGTTTTTAAATGATTATCGGGGACAACTGTACAAAAGTGGGCCCGCGTGTGCATTTTCACTTTACACAGGTGAACGGTGTTACTGTTTTGAAAACATTTTTTCTCACCTTTCATTCACTATATAGTATTTACTTTTAGAATTTAAATAAATAATTTTTATTTTTTTCTATTTTTTACAAAAATTATCACAACTCGTAAAAAGTTTAAAAATTAAGGAATGGAAAATTTAACATGCGCGCGCAGGTCCCACTTTTGACTTTTGTGCAGTAGTATCGATTGAACATTTTGTAACATTTATTTGCAACTACACTTTTTAATTTATTGCACCATAAAACCAACGATGATTTTACGTATTTTATTTAGTTAGTGAATATTCATTTATTATTATTTATTTTTAAATAAAAGGAACATTTCTAAAAATAAAATATTTGAGTGAATTTTGCCTGTTTACAAAATTATTTACTTTTCAACACCTTTCTCATTTGTCAAAATTTGAGCTAAAAACTCTTAAAAACATTTAAAGTAATTTAAATGCCTACTTTTTTTTCTTAAATTTTCGGTTTTATCTGAAAGACCATAGCCTAAACTTGAGGCTATTATCTTTATTTAGGCCCTAAGGCTAATCCACATCAAAAGAAAAATATTCTTGCATGTAAATAAAGTTTTTAGACACGTTCACTTGTTGCTCATTGACTCTCGAGAGCATATGACCACATCATGTTGAAACATCGGTTCCTATATAATCACTGAAGTTAAGTAATGTTGAGTCTGGTCAGTACCTAGATGGGTGACTGCTTGGGAATACCAGTTGCTGTAAGCTTGGATGTGCATTTGGAATAATGGATACTGGCTCAGAATTGTTAATCAGAGGGCCAATTTTCAATCCTTGTTGGGTTTGTATATTCACTTACGTGCAAATATCCTCGGGGAAAGTATGAATCCACCTTTGCTTATCCAGCTATGGGTTAATTAGTAAAACTTGTATCACTAAACTATTATCCCTCAAAAAAAAAATTCTTACAATCTAAAAACATTTTTTAGCTTTAAATAACCTGTAAAGGGTTAAGCTGTAGAAAATGAATGAATGAATGAATCAACCAATGACTCACCATTATAGTACAAAAAATATAAATAACACATTTAAAAATCTCTTAAAAATCAAATATTTGCCCTAGAGATGTTTCAAATTAAATTAGAAAATTTAAGGAATAAGTGGATTTGTAATGCTTTTTCTTTTTTTTTTTTTGCTTAAAACATGAAAATAATGTTTATTTATGCACAGTAGCTTGTGATGTCATAGGTCATCAACAGTAATTTTGTAATACATCCTTGACTCATGCAAAAAAGTTAAAAATAATAAAAGAAATGTGGAACACCAGCAGTACAATAATCAAAAATTGGTTATGTTTAAAAATACCAATAGTTTATGAATACTGTTTTTTTAGTTTATACACTTTTGTAAAACCTATAAGAATGAATTTTATTTTTCATACAACATAGAAGCATAAAAAAGAAATTAATTACAAACTACTTAAATGATACTTACAAGTTTAGTTTGCTGCTTTTATTTTTTGATTATTTTTTACCAGTTTGAAGTCATAAGATAATTAACTGCACCCAATGAGGTATTTTTTTAATTATTCTGAATTTAAAATTTATTAAAGAAAGTACATAAAAGGTGGTGGTGCTGCTGTTAAAACTCAATACTAAGATATTGATGTTACAAGAGGGTGGTAATTTAGAACTTTTTTCTAATTGATCTTCCATACAAAAACTAACAGTTGTGAAAATAATAAATAAAATTCTTTTAAAAATATTTCTGACGCAAAAATGGCATCAACTTTTACATTTTTCAATTCTCCGAACAAACTCAAATAATTTTTGTTGAGAGTTGGTGCTTGCATGATTTAATAAAATACATTTTCTTTCAGATTTTCATCTTTATTTAATAAAAATAGTTCTCTTGTCATCAGCAACCAGAAGAATTTAAAAATTGCATGTAAAAATTGCAAGTAAATATTTTTTAAATAAATATTAATTGTAGATTTTTTTCCCCCTGTTAAATCTGAAAGAAAATGTATTTTATTAAATTATGCAAGCACCAACTCTCAACAAAAATTTGAGTTTTATTGAATTATTTTTGTAAGGTTCCAGGATGTATTTTCAATACTTACTGATTGGATATTGCAGAATTTCTTACTGAAATAATATCTTCAGGGATTTTTCTTTATAAAAATATATTTGCTCCCCCCATCCAATTTTAAAAGTATTCATGATGTATTGAAATGTGGGGATAACTGACCACCCCCAAATATTTCTATAACTTGTTCAGTATACAATTCATTCATTAATAGATAAGTGCTGAAAAGTTCATTTAAATCAAATAAATCACTGATTTTTAAAATTCTTAGAAATGGAGTAGTGTTTTTTTTTTTTTTTATTATTATTTTTCGAAAAAATGCAACTATTTTGGCAGTATCTCTCTCTCTCTCTCTCTCTATATATATATATATATATATATATATATATATATATATATATATATATATATATATATATATATATATATATATATATTGATAAAATAAAACATAGGTGGTAAATTCATTAATAAGTACTATTTAGCAATTATTCCTTATGCATACAGTAACCTCTCAAATGTTGAATGTTGATATAACAACTCTCAGTATAAGTTCAGCTCTTTTTGTTACTGTACAAATAATAAGACATGTGCTATTGTAAATTAATGGTTACCTAGCTTTCATCAGAAGAAAAAAGAAAAATTGCATAACACGGCATTTATTTACTTTTTGATTTTGGGCCAGTCATATAAATAACAAATTTCCAAAAGTAATAAGATCGCAATGAAATTTCACACACACCATTTGTGAAAGAGTGATCTTTTTCTTGATGTATTTCCTGCAGTGCCTTTAATGACAGCATATATGCCATAGCACATATGCTGTCATTAATTTTGGGTAATTAGATTTTTATTTGTTTGGCTAATGTAACATTAAAATGTCAATTATCTTGTTATTGTCAGGTATTTGTAAAGTTTACCTGTTTTTTTTCTTTTTCTTTTTTTTTTTTTTAAGATCACTTTCATGTCTTAAAAATTGAATTCTCCACAAAAATCCCACCTCTGAATTGATTACTGGAAGTTTTCATTTGGTACAGTTAATATTAGGTTAAACCAGAACTTTGTCATATAGCATGTACTCTGAGAGAACACATACTGTAATGTGTAATGATTACAGGGCTAGCTCCACATGACATGTTCTATGAATGTAGCCAATTGATAAAATATATTAAAATGAATATCTATTTAATGTTATAAAATAGCACACAGTGCTGGTAGTAAAAATAATGTTTTTAATATATTATTTAATGTTATAGTTTTCCAATGATAAAAATACTTAGTCATATTTTTGCATTAAAATGACAGCTTAATGCATATTTCAGCAATAATTTTCTCACAAGAATTGCACAGGGTGAACACAAGGAATGTTTATCATTTTGCAAAATTTTTGACAGCATTTTTCTAGAGACAAGATTAATTTTCAGAATGCTATTTATGATTTATGAGGGCTGATTTGATCACATCTTTTCAATTACTTTATCAAGTGAAAGCAAACCAGTGGACATGTATGTATTTTTAGTTTTAAGTAATGATCCATTTTGTTTTGCATGATCTTTTTTAACTATTTTTTTAAAAATTTTATATGAAACAAATTTCACTGACTCTTATCTATATATTTTTTTTAAATTTAGATTTCAAATGCAATTATTTTTATTTTGAGTGTCAGCAAGTAAAATGAGCACAAAGCTCTAAAAGTGAAAAATCAAAGCAAAAAATTCAATTCATTAAATTATCAAAAATATTTAAAATAATTTTAATTAATCTCCTATTAGTTGTTATAAAGGTATATTCATGTTTATAAAAGTTCCTTATAAATATTACTAATAATAATGTAGCTTGTGAACATGGGTAATAGACTTATCCGTAGCATTGATTACCTAACTCGATTTTATCAGTTTACTTCTTTTTCTTTCTAAGTGATTTGCAAAGTTTTTCCAGATATTTTTTTCTTTGTTGCTTTGTAATATAACTTTCTTATAACATTCATCATAAAGATGATTTTGGATTCTGGTTACAAATCACTTGTACAGATGGATAAATTGTAGTCTAAATTACGCCAAAATGAAAATAACTGACATCGCTTTTTAAGATATATTTACCAAAATTACACAATATCTTGAAATAATAAAGAATAAATTTATTCAATAAAATTGCTATTGGCTTCAGCTACATCTTCCAAGTGACTTTGGGATCTCCTGCAACTCTTCTGTATGGTCTCCTTTTTTAAGTTGGTGAATGCTGCCATAATTCTTGCCTTCACTTCATCTTTGGCATTACAAGTAGGTTGATTTCTCATTCAACTGTGCCCCACACATAATAATCAAAGGAGTTGCAGTCTGGGGAATTAGATAGCTAGATGTAAGGGGGTGATGTTGCAAAAATTGTCTGACAGCCATGACTGGGTTCTCTCGCTTGTGTCCCCTGGTGCAGAGTCCTGTTGCCAGACATAGGGTCTTCCAGCAGCCACCCTCTTGATCCAGGGCAGCACTATCTCTTCAAGGCACTTGATGTAGGCCTATGTGTTGAGTTCCTCACCAACAAATTCAGGAGTACTTATCAGAGGGAGTTTTCCAAGTTTCCATACCTTTGTAATCACCATTAGACTCATCCAACTCTTTCCGAATCCTATGCACTGTCCTCAGATTGACACCCAAACAGTTTGAAATGTTTGTATTGGAGCTTAAAAAAATACAAAATGGTGGTAATTTACTCATCCTACCCTATATTCATTTCTTTTTTTTTAATCATTTTCTCCCAAGCAAGGCAATAAAATCACTAAGAAACATGGGGTTCCATTGTATGAAAGAATATGAAAAAAAGCATTATCAAGAATAGAAAACAATAAAAAACAGCAACTAAGAAGACGGAGGATAACGATTGACATTACATCTAAATTTTTGAAGATCAAGTTAGCTGGAAAGCAAGCAACTGGAAGAGAGTTCCACAAATGAGAAGTGCTAGAAAAGAAACTGTTAGCATAGAACCTTATTGTTAATTTCATTCAAAGGTGTCTTCTGTTGCCATAGCAGGATATGACAACACAACTATAAAATTCAAATTCAGGGGTCGTCACCTTTAGAGGCAGAATAAACTTTTGTACAGACAGTGATAAAGGTTAATTTGTTGTTGTTTGTTACCTCCCACTAGGGTGTGTACATACAGTATTTTAATCATTGCACAAATCAATTAGAATTGTATATAATCTGTTGCTGGTTTTTAATAGGATAAATAAGCAAATATTACTCTTGTAATTAAACAGCAACAAAATTTTCAAGGAGAGGCACCTCCCCTCCATTTTCCCCCTCGTTTGATTTAAATTTGATCAAGGGAATGGCTCCTATCTAAAAAGGAGGAAAAAACCAGAAGATGGGGATCACACCGGCAAGATCAAAATGAGACAATATGGACGTCAAGTTGAGCAAGAAATCACCAATCACTGGGTAGTGCCTTACAATACATATTGTGACAATTCAACTGTCATATCAATGCTGAAATTTGCACATCAATTCATTCAATCAAATATTGCATCAAATGCACATCAAAGAGGTCAGTTCAAGCTGTCTTTGCACAAATTTTTTCTGTTTAAATTTAAATTTGAACAAGGAATGACTCAGTTGAATATATATATATATATATATATATATATATATATATATATATATATATATATATATATATATATATATATATATGAGGAGAAAGCCAGAAGATGGAGGTCACATCAGCAAGATCCATGAGTAATATTGAATGCATCATTTTTCTCCAATTTATAACAATGATTTAAAATCAGTTATCATTTTCTTACAAAAAAAGAAATGTGTAACATGCAGTAAAGTGCAGGTAATTTGGCTAGTTTATTCATAATTAGTAATTGTAAAGATCAGTTACCTGGGTCTGTGTTCATGTTTTATTCTCTAGTCATGTAAATGTCATTGGGAAATAAATTGCATGTACATTTAGTATTGTTTTTTTTTTTTTTTTTTTTTAATTGTCAAATATTCTTTTGTGCACTAAATGCAAGAAATGAGTTTTCATCTTTATTAATGTTATAATTTTCCAATCTTATTTGGTCTTACAGTTCATGTCAAATGGGGCAGCGAAAAATTCACAGACATTGAATGCAATGGAGATGAAACCCCACTTTTGTTCAAAGCACAACTGTTCAATCTGTCTGGAGTACAGCCTGATCGACAAAAAGTTATCACAAAAGGAGTTGTCCTCAAGGTTTGTGTCCATTATTTCCTTTCAGAATTGTTATCCTGTTCTTTTTATTAGTTTTTCTTTTTTAGAATCTGAGTTGCTGTAATGTTATCAGTTGAAAATCCTTCTGAGTTGCTGTAATGGAAAAAGAAGAATGTTCAGGCTCTACTAATATGTAAATATTGAAATTGTAGAATATGCTACAATGCAGCAGTTAGTATGCTGTGATTGTAAATTGTGAATTTCATCTTCACTATATACTTATTATTCTAAGCATCACTAGACCAAGTCTGACTTCCTGATATGAAATTTTAAAATTTAAGTTATAAATAGAAGAAATTTAAAAAGAAAAAATACATTTAAATAAAGTTAACATTAATGTCTGTTGGAAAGTGCATCTCAAATTCTAGCCAAATGTATAGTAGTTTGGCCAAGGATCAACCATGCTCTTTTATTGTTATTATTGATCTGCCAAAATACATCTGCACATTTACACGTTCTGTGTTCTTACCCTTTGGAAATGTTTTTTTTTTTTTTTCGATAATTCTCTGCTGAGATCAGGCATCTTGTATTTAAGAATTCATTCAAGCATTGCCTATTTAATAAATTAGTAAGTCAAACACTTTACTGTTAGTATTCGAGAGAATGCTTTTTTCCATGTAGGTGGTGGGGCTAAATAGTCTCTAATCCACTGAGACTGTATATCTGTCAAACTCCTTTTTCTCATGTTTTGTCAAATTCAAAAAACATTTTTGAGTGAAGAAATAAAATTCTACAGGTCTAAGAAAAAGGTATTTTCATTCATTATTTGAATTTAGCTTCTCAGTGCATTAACTATAGGGAACTGAACAATCAGATTTCGTTTCCTTATATATTATGATCATGAGTCCCTGTAATCCATTAGGGTTGTAAGGGCACCACATGTACTGCACCAGTAGTGTGTCTTGGGCAAGACATCCTGATGTAGTGCAGCTCTCTCTAGACTGATTTGAATTCAATTTTCTTTCTCCTAGACTGTTTGCTGTCTCAAGACTATAGGGATCATTCTGTCCTACTATCAACCCATAGTTGAGGTGGGAGGAAAGAAATGAATTCATATCTTTCTCAAAGGTATTTGTGTGTAAGTAAATGAAATCAAATTCAAACTCTTCTTTGATTTCTTGTTCTTGAGTTTTATGCAAGTTCTGGTTGTGAAATCAAAGTAATTCTTTTCTGGAGATCAAATTCTTTTTAGCATTCCTTTCATACTTTTTCTTATACAACACAGATTTTGATACGGAAAAAGTGATGTAATAAAGAAAGAATTCTAAAAAGTGTCAAGATTTAATTAGGTTATAGTGTCAAAAGAATAAATGACATTTGATGTTGATCGTAAACAGTTTCTTTGACTTTTGACATGAAACACTATATCCACAAGAAATCAATCTGTGTTCATTGGGATACATTTCAAAATGGAAAATGAAAAATCTGTTTCACTGAAACTTTTTTTATAATAATGAACTTTAATGTATTTTAGATTTTTCTTTCTAAAATATTTGCATTTTTCATCTCATTTTTTGAAAGTTTATAAGTTCTTCCTGTTTCGGTTATTGGATCAACTGAGCTAAGAATATCAGAATATTTTAAAATTGATATATTTGAATGTTATGGATAATAGAAAGATGAAGAGGGTCCATTTGGTTGTAAAAATGTCAATTTCACCTCTCCATTATATGGATATTTTTCAAGTACACATCCTAACCACAAATTCCTATCATGAAGTGCTGTCACAAATCCGTTAATGTCTTCGAACTCCATATTGTTTAGTTTTGTGATTCGAACTATCCTTCCTTTATTTTGTGTTGACACTATTTTTACTTCCAATTCCCTCTGAGAGACAGGAATGAAAGTATGTAATTTCTGTGTTCCTATAATAGTGGATGAATTGCTAAATCTATCTTCTAAGATGTTTGCTTCATTCGTCCATTCTGCAGTTGAGGAATATAAGAAATGTATTCTGGAAATATTTTTTCTCACATAAAAATACAGCTGTCTTGGCGTCATGATTTGTTCATTATAGGGTCGTTGCAGGCTAGCTTTTGCTGCTAACCTTTTAACAGTGCCACCTAACCCATCACATGGTCCTTTCCCATGAGAAGTAGCAAAAAAGTGCCACTCTGCATCAATACCAAAATCAGACTTATGGTTGCACAAATTTATAAAGTTTTTAAAATTTTTATAGTGTGAAACAGCACCATCAGAGAAATGTATCATTTTTTTTCGACATCAAAATCAAGAATTTTTAAATTTTTCTATAAGCTTTCTTTGAAACAAATGGACAGCTACTGTGTCATGCTTGAGACAATCAGATATTATTACAAAATTAATATGCTCAAGGTCAATTCTATTTCTATAGTAGCAGATGAATGGATGCAATGTAGCTTGATCATTATTCCAGTGGAAGCCTTGAGCTGTATCTTGCAAAATAAATGAATAATTCTCAGCAAAATCTGCTATTGCTAAGACTTCATCAACCTTCAAAGAACCTTTTCTATCAGAACAAAATTTTGATTGTGTTTTGGCAATGAAATTATGCTTCTTCAATGTTTGAAGGCCTGCATGGAAAGTTTCAATGAATTCCTCTGTGGATTGTGATAGTTTGTAGAGTGGTTCTATCAGTTGATAACAACTGTTTGTATACAAAATCATCAACTGAATTTTTGTAAAAAATTTTTCCATATACAAAACAAAATCATCCATCAGTTTGCTGCAAGTTGAGCAGTCACCCAAGTAGCAACTTGCTGATGCTTCATTGTATGCATTGATGGTTATCTGTCAAATGATAATTTTCTCCTTCAGTCAGTTTACCAAGATGAGATCCTGAAATCATCAACTTCATATTCTGATGGATTGTGCAAATGCAGACAGTATGAGTCCCAGCACCACCTGCTAGCACACATTCTTTTGGTCTAAGCTCAGCAAATTTAGAGAAGCTTATTTTCTCCTGGTTCTTTGATTTGAATAATTCAAATGCCTCTTTCAAGTTACAGAGAACAAGATATTTTTGTTCCTGAACCCGTTTCCCATCCTTTAAAACAGTCTTGTAATCATTTTTTCCAGGCATCACTCTACTGACTTCTTCACTTTTATAAAACTGCCTCACTTTATCAATCGTCTCTTGTGGGAATCTAGTTTTTTGTGTATTTGGCAAAGCTAAAATTCCTTCCTCATTCACAAGTTTTTTTGCTTGTCTCGCCATGTACATTGTAGTGCCAAATTCTGTTTGTATTTTGCTTAGACTCCAGCTTTTTGGAAGTACAGTCAGAATTTGAATTTTTTGTAATCTCTTTTCACTCCCAGCAAACTTCTCTTTCAACTGGGTGATGATTTCTCTTTCAAAGTTTTGGTGTTCTGCACTATTTGATTCCTCATGAGAAATGTTTGATGAAATTATACTGATTCTATCAGATATTGCTCCTGTAAATTTTTTCTATATATTTCTATATATCACTTTTTCTATGACAAAATCTGTGTTGCATTAGAAAAAAAAATGAAGAAAATTCAGTTTCATCACCAGAAAAAATTTTTTTATTGATTTCATGACCATGGTCCTTATGTGAATATTAATCAGCATTAAAATAGCTTTACAAAGATATACACTTGACCATATTGTGAAATATCAAAATGCTTTTATATGAAGTAGCAGATACTACATTCCGCCATTTTGAATTTTGCCCAGTCCTATAAAACGCTTGTAACAACAGTTCTAGTGGAATGCCCATCATGAAATTTGGAATATATATTGTCATAAGATAGACAAATCTTTTGTCAAAATTTAAAAAAAATTAAAATAACGTTTTTTGAGATAAGTCAGATCAAAGGTCAAGGTCAATTTTTTTTATTTGACCTTTAAAAAAAAAATCCCCAGATAAAATTGTAGATCTATCCAAGTACTTTAGAATGATATATGAATGAACTTTGTAGGTCCATAAACAACTGAGATATAATCTTTTAAAGTTGGTCACTATTCACATATTTGTAAAAAGGTCAGAGGTCATATCACAAGAACCCCTTGACCTTGAGATGCGTAACAGGTGCCATTCAATTCCTTTCATGGAGATCTATAAGTGTAGCAAATTTGAAAAAAAATCCGTGTCGGACATGGTATTTGCCCCCCCAAAATTTGTTGATTTGACATGGAATGAGCCTTGTGATGAATGTGATGTGCATGAATTTGGGTAGTAGAAAGTGTAGATTATGAGGATAAAGAGAATAGATGACAATTGACCCTTGACTTGAAGAGGTGAAGATTGTGGTTTTCAGGGAAAATTTATGCAGGAGTCTTTCACAAAGAAGCTGTTGGTGGTGGTGGTGGGGGGGTGAGCTGAGATGTACTTTCTCTTTACATTTAGAACTTGGAGGAAATGAAGGTAATTCAACTCCATGCAAGTAGTGTTGCGTATTCTGGGTGGCACCTTGTCCCTACATTTGGAATATGGAAGATATGAGCAATTTGCAGAAGTGGCATTGCATGTCCAAAGTATAAAGGTCTAAACAATTAAGGTCATTTGCCATGTAAATGGCAATAGAGTAGCAAGAGGCTTGTGACATTGCATCTGCAGTGTGAAGAATAAGAATGTGTAAACAATTTTGAACTCTAATTAAGACTGGAAAGTTAAGATTGAGCAGCTCTAGACCTGATATGGCAACACTGCATCATTTTTTGGTCTAATCTACTGTAAAGATAAAGCAAGGCAGAAGGAGTTTGGTACTGCCTGGAGTGATAGAATGAGCTAACCATTTTTCCAGCATCTTTAGCAATGGATCATATATATAAGTTACAATTGAGGTCTGAAATGAACTTCCTCCTGATGAAATATATAATTACTATCTTCCCCAAAGCACTTATATTATTATTAAAATTGCCAAGTTTATTTTCATTAAAGAAAATACATCAGCAAAAATAAGGTTACAGTGCACTAAGCAAAAAAAATCTCTGCATGTTCATGTAGAGTATGAGTGTTGTCCTAAGAATTTAGGACAATGTCATTAAAAAGTGTTGTCCAGAAAAGGATAGTTTGTTGCATATTGTTGCCGCTGGTGGGGATGGCGAGCTGGTTGGAACAGTGGCAAGCTGAAGCTGATGATAACTGGTTGGAACTGCTTCTGCTAATGTTTGGAGTCACGGGCCTGCTGCTGGAACAGATACTACACTTTGATCCTAGGCATCTTGGTCTGGATTTTTTTTTTTTTTTTAAATATGCTGAATCTGTTTTACATCAGTCACTGGTCCTGAAAGTTGAAGTTTCTTCTGGTTGTCTTTTCTTTTCTTTTCTTTTTTTTTTTTTTTTTTTTTTTTAAATTTGGAAGTGCTGACAGCAGATGAAAAACATAGCTTCAGTCTTATATTCACACCTTGTTGCTTTCAAGTATCAATCTCTTTCAAAGTAATTTCTTTTTATCCAGTTGTCTCCTTCCTGCAGTTGCAGAATTATGTCAAATATTGCAATCACCTTGAATAAATATCTAATTTTGCTATCTTTTTATTTATCTTTCCTTCACAATTCAAAAAGTCATGGTTTCAAATTTAAGAGTTTTCCACTGAAAAAGCATTTGTGTTAACCAGCAGGGCTGTAGAGTTGGAGTCAGTTAAGGGGTCACTGGAGTTTGAGTCAGTAAAACTATACCAACTCTGACTTCAGTTGAATTTACACTTTATGTAAAAAGTCTTACATATTAGAATCTTTATTCTTATTTCTTCTACTGTATATTTACTATTTCCTTTTAAAGGATTTAATCCAAACTTCTTTTTTGAAGTCATTTTATTTTTTATTTGCAAAACTATGTGTAAATAAAAAAAAAAATGTCTTTTTTTAATGTCTTTTACATTCTATAAAAGATATTTCAACTTCTGTTATAAAGTAGTTTTATTTTTGTTCTGCACTTATTTCTTCTTTGCAAAGATATATATATATATATATATATGTGTGTCTGTGTGTTAAAAGTCTTACATTATAGCATTTTTCTTATTTCTTCTACATCCTTTGAAAGATTTTGTCTCTAATTCTGTTAGAAAATAATGAATAAGTATGATATAAAAGCCACAATACCATTATTCTTTGATATAAACCAGTTATAATGATATAGGCCTACTCAAGTTAGGAGTGTATGCATAGGCTTTGAGATTTGTAGGCCATAATCACTTAATTACATAAAGAGGAGTCAAAGGTTTTGTGTTTCGACTCCATAGCCCTGTTAACTAGACAATATTAATTCCAATAACTTTCAAAGAAGTTGCTGTAAATTTTAATCTCTATTTCTACATGGAAATGATTTTATCATATTTCTTGTACTGCTCTAACTATTGCAACTAGAGCTGCTGTTATTGTTAAAGATCACAATACAAAACAATTCTCTTTATTAACACTTTGTTAATACCATTGGTGTGTTTGAATACACCACAAAATGTTTTTCCCTTAATCTTTAGCAAGTGGCTAATTAAATTTTCCTGATTAGTCAAGTAGCTTTCTGAATACCTCTGTCAAGTAATTATAAAGAGTTTCTGGTTTTAGTCATAGTATTTGTATGAATTACAAGCATGGGACCACAAATACTGCCTTTAGTAAATGTGGTAGAAATGTATGCAAAGATCAGAGTAACCTTATTTGTTGCTTGGAATGTGAAAAGATATACCGAATATAAAATGATTTGTTGCATATTTGAATTTTTCAAACTTACAGCTTCATTTTTTTAATATTGTTTTTTTTTAATTTGATTTTTCAAAATAAAACCTTTTTTTTTTTCTTATTTATCCTGTAAAAATCAGAACATTCAAGATAATATATAACAAGAAAATTAATAACTAAATGTTATATCTAAAATATTTTAAATGGTGTGTTTGATAACCTCTACAATGTTAATGCTGTGACATTGTGCCACAATACTAATAGAGGGTTTATTTATTTATTTTTAACCCATATCCTCCCAGCATCAGTTTCAACAGATGCCCCCCCCCCCCACACACACACACACCATATATTTAAACTGTAATAATAATCTATAATTTTGGTAACTGAAATAGGTTGGGAAATTTCCTGGGGGTGGAGCATCAGTTTAAACAGACATCAGGAGGATATAGTTTAAAATGCATTCATTGTCTATTGACAAATTTCAAATAAACCTTCTGGAGTTTGATTTATTTATAATGACAATTTTTGGCTCTATTTTGTTTGAAGCTTGTAAACTGCAAAGTTTGGCAATCATTGTCATATGAATTTTGTAAAATTCTGACTCCATTTTCACTCTTTCTGTAATATTCTGTAACATTTTCTGTAATGTTCTGTAATATTGGTAATCATTAGACTTAACAAAATGTAATTTTTTCCTCTGTCTAAAAAAAAAAATAAAATAAAAGTGTGTGGGTGAGGTAATCTTTTACTCTAAATCTATTTTTCATGACTTATACAAAAGAAATCTTAACTTTATCACTTATATTTCAGGATGATGAATGGAACATCCAGTTAAAAAATGTGAGTATCATTCATACTTTCAACAGAACTTTACATTGCTTGTAATTTCAGTTACTAAAATCTTTTCTCTACCAAACCATATATTTGCCTAAGTTTACCTGACAGTCTTCAAACTAACACTAGAAATTATCTATTTATCAAATGTATTTGTAATGCTTATTTTTTTTATTGCTGATTTCCGTAGATTTTAGTTAATGTTTATCATTAATGATATCAGCCAATATTTGGACATAATTTAATTCAGTCATTGGTAAGTCTTACTCATAAAAATTCATCATTAATAGTAACTTTTGAAGTAAAGAAAGGGGGGGAAAAAAAACTTCCTATCATTTTATTTTAAACTCCATACTAGAGGTATGGTCTTCAAAGCGGTTAACCACTTGACTGAAAGAATAGAAGAATGAAATAGTAGATGAGAGCTTTTGGGGTCAAGCGACAACAACCCAGACATTGATGATTTGTGGTTCCTGGTCTATATTAAGTCCCAGTTGGGATTGAAATAGTTCTGGTCTGCTGTTGATGGAGGACAGACAATCCCTTGGGTAGTTCCACTTCTGCTCGTTTGTATTGCTAACCACACATGATGTTGAGATGGTTAGAAAATTGATAGGAGGAAGCATCAAAGAGAAGACCTTATCTATTTAGCTTGACATAGCAGTTGTCCCAAGTGATATCTACCTACCCAGACCAAGCAAGTGAAGCCCTGAATAAAACATCTAATTATATTAGAACAGGATTCAAGTTTTAATTTCTCAATGTGCTGTTTATTTTCATCTTCTGTTTCCTTGTGAGTTTGCAGTGGGCCCTTCTCAGTTTTTGGTGCGCACTGACACTAATGAGAATGGAGATAGAATATGGATAGTCATTACCCTATTGGTGGAAAGCTGGATGAGTGCCTTATATGTTTACAATATTTCTACTGTAACTTTTTATAATTTTAAAATTTCAATTAACTACTGTTGTTGCGTTGAATTATGGACAGTCAAATTTAACCCAATGTTATTTGTAGAACTTGCATGAAAGATTCTTTATTTGTCAAACTGAAGTGGGGATTATATTGGACTACAAAATAGAATTTAAAAAAAAAAAAAAAATTTTTTTTTTTTTTTTTTTTCCCTAAAGTGGTTAATTCTGATCATTTTTGTTTTATATTCTGATGTAACTGGATAAGGAAAGTTATAAAATGTGATTTTAGTTGGAAATTTGCTTTTTCAGTTTAATTTAAAGATTCTTAAAACTTCAGGTAATGATTCTGTTCCTTTATTTTGAAAACTAAAGATATAAACAGGCATTTTGATATGCTATTTGAATATGTGAATGCTTATTGAAGAATTAAGTTGAATAGAAACAAAAAAAATGCATGATCATGAATATCAATTTGGGTTTCAAAATTATTTTTATCTATTTTTATCTATCTATATCTCTTTTTATCTATCTATATCTATTTTTATCTATCTATATCTATTTTTATCTATCTATCTCTATTTTTATCTATCTATCTATATCTATTTTTATTTTTTCAGGGCTTAACATTCATGATGATGGGTTCTGCTGACGTTCTACCAGCTGAACCAGTTGATAAACCAGTTTTCATGGAAGACATGAATGAGGCCCAACTTGCTACTGCAGTCAGTATTGATTCTTAATGTTATATTTACATGAATTTGTTTTGCTTTATTTTATAAGCAACTTTAGATTTTAACCAAGATTCAGGTTGCATAAGAATTAGCACTCAAGTTACTTAATGGTTGCTGAAATCTTTTTATGATGCTTGGGTCTAATAAATAGAAAAGAGATTTTACAATATTTTGCTGTAAACTAAGAGAATTGGTTGAATTCTTGAATACAGTATAAAATAACACATTATATAACCACTTTTTGTCTATTTGCCTAAGTCATAAAAATTTTCATTCAAGAGTTGCTTAAGATTTAGTCAATTTTGAGTACAGGAACTTATAAGCGAGTTGCTTATTTTTTTTAAAAATTGTTTGATACTATAGACATCTACATAGAAAAGAAAGATATATAGTTTTATCTCAATCTCTAGTGTTTGTTTTATAGCCATCAGGTGGTTCTTTTAAAAGTCTGGTTTTCTAAGCAGCATCTACTTTGAACAAAGGGGAATGGGAAAGGAGTAGGTTGAGATGAGCTTATTTTTGGAGATCAAGCAACAACAAACTGAACATTGATTATTTCTGAGTGCTGGCTTGGGATTGGAGGGTCAGTTCTGGTCTGTTTTGGCAGGAAATGGACTTGCACATTGTGTGGCTCCAATGCCATCTGTGCATATTGCCAGCCACACATAAGGATTTGTAGATGGATGAGGAGTTGGCAGTGGGAAGAACTGACATAGGAGTTGTCCAAAGTGTCACCTATGACCCATACAGTTGAAACCCTTCCTAAAACATCTACATATATATAGGGAAACAGATTTTGCATTCTTATTTCTCAATGTGGCATTTGTCTTTTGTTTTGTTACTTTGTGAGCCTGCAGCAGGCCCTTCCTCAACTTTTGGTGCATGTTAACAAGATTGAGAACCAAAATGCAATGTGAAATAATCATTGGATGGCAAGTGGAAAGCTAGGGTGAGGATTGCATTGTTTGTTTTTAACTGTATTTGCATTATTTATCTGTTTATTAGTCCCACCCACTTATTTCTCTCAGATTTTTATCTTATCAAATGAAAATGAACAAAAGAAATTTTCATTGCTGAAGAATTAATGCAGTTGTTTATATATAAAGACTTAAATTAAATGTTTTGAACACATGTTCAGTTTTGATCTTTATTTAAACATTAAACTGACCACAATAACTTAACAAATTCATATGATTTCCATTATTTCATAACTGATATATAAATGTTATTTATCTTTTAGCTATTAAAAAGTGACATGCGAATTTATTTTTTTCTTTCATTTTTCTCTTTATTTTTTCTTTCAGCTGAAACTTCCTCCTGGTTTGATAAATATAGGCAACACATGCTACATGAATGCCACATTACAATGTTTGCATTCCATTCCTGAACTTAGAGAAAATCTTGCCAAGTGAGTTCATATTGATTCCCCCCCCCCATTCATTCTGCTTTTGTTTGTTTCTAATTTTACCTGCCCCCTCCAAACTTTTTGCCTACTTTCTCATAATTTAATCTTGATTATTATTAATGTTGCACATGTTTTCAAATCCAACTGACTGAATGCATATACTGGGGATGTCAATCAAAATATTTTCTATTGGGGCTTTGCTGAATTTTAACACATCTTGAAGTTTACTTTATTACTTTTGCGAATTTACTTACTGAATCTAGTTCTCCTAAAAATGGAGGATTGTAAACGTAAGTACTGATTTAACTCCTGCTTCAGATATAATTCAAGAGACTTTGTAATTTGAATTTTAATCAGATCTAGGATGTTTTATATTTGAAGACATGGGTTCTTATTTGATTGTCTGTTGATTGAGCAGCTGGTCAATACACTAAAGTGTTATAAATCTCACCTTTCCTCAAAAAAAAAAAATCTTTTTTTAATTAAGCATCTGCAAGAATACAATTAGAACAAAAATATTTATGAAATTATATCAGTGAAAGGAGTATTTAAAAAAAAATGCTTTGTATAAATAAGCATTTCAATAAAAGGGTTGATACTTAAAAAAAAAAAAAAAAAAAAAAAAAATTTAAGCACAAATACTGTTTGCCTACAAAGTTTTTTTTATTTTGTTTTATAATGAAACAAAACTTTTTATTAAACATCTTTTCATGCCAAAAAGCTGGCAGTGGTTAGTTTTGTAAAATTTATATCCAAAAAGTAAATATATTTTGGCAGTGTTTACATGCACACAAAAAAAAAAAAATGTATCAAAAGTATGGTTATTCCCTTGACACTTATTACTGTATACACTTTTGACTCCCTTGGCAAGGTTTATTGTTTTAAAAAGTGATGATTAGAATTTTAATAAAACCAAAGCATATGAAAGTGGATTTAGACCTTTTCTTTATTCTTGAAAATTGACCACAAAGCTACTAAACTTTATTAAGCTTGCTTATTTACAAGAATAATTTTATATTTACAAGATTATAAAAATATGTGAAGCAACTGCAATGAAATATTTATTATTTACTATTTTATAATAAAATTATTATGTAAAGAAATTTTTTTAATTATAAATTTATAAAAAAAAGTCTGAACAATTTTTTTATATATAAACACAGAACTAGTAACTATGATAATAAATTTAAAAAAAATCCATTTTCCAAGCATTTTTTGCCACATAAATTCACTTAAATAAATTGAGAGCATCTTTTCCTCTGAAGTAAACATTTTTAATTTTATATTTTAGGTAAGACCACAAACACTCAATATTTTGTGTGTATCTCTATTCATTGCGTGGACAAAGTTTTCCTTCTGTATAATAATTACAGAATGTCTAATTTTTCTGTCTAATTTTAAAAAAAACTTTTTATAATTATTTATAAAATGGTAAATGATAAATCTTGCATTGTAGTTGTTTACATATTTTGATAATTTTGTAATCTTTTGATAAAGTTTTTTTTTTTTTTTTTTTATTCAATTTATTTCTTTATAAAATGGCAAATAATAAATAATAAATCTTTATTAAAAGGTAATTGATAAATATCACTTTATACATGATTCACATAGTTTTAAATTTATAAATCCTTTCCTTCTCTTTTAAATTAATCCAGTTATAGCTACTGAGAAGCTGTTTTTCATCAAACTTAACATTTTTAAGTAGTTGTTAAATCATTGTTGTCAGAGAAATTACCATTTTTGAAAGAACTTGAATATTGCTATCACCATCTATTTTGATTTACTGTCAGTTTCTGGGTGTGAGAAAAGTCACACATTTACTTAGTGAATTTTGGTGCTATGGTTCATTTGATATATTGTACAAATCTGATTATTTTCCAACATCATTTCGATTGCTGTATTGATTGCATGGAGAGTTAAAAATTCTTTTGAAAGTATTCTTTGTTTTATTACAAGAAGTAATATAACACTTATCAATGTCACTCTCTGTTGTGCTTTTCAATTCAGTATTAATGCATTTATATGAAAAAAAAAAAAAAAATTTGTCTGAATACCAGCAACTCTGAAAATCTAAAAACGTCACTTGCTTTCAAACACTGATGAATAGCATGTTTATTTCTCTTCTGTCATTTTTAACTTCCTTTTAAGCAGCTACATAAAAGCAAATATATTCATTTTTCAAAATGTTTAATAATTACTTTTCTCCAGTTACCATCTTACTCAGAGAGGTACTCAGATAGGGGACACAATCACTCCAGGTAAATATCTTTTTGCATACACTTGAGTAATGTCATTTTTATTAGTATCATTGATAATTTTGTTTGCTGTTATTTTGTTTTTTTATTTTATAAAAATATGTCTCATCAGAATCTATTTTCTTTTATTCAAATTTATATTATTCATCATTTAAAAACAATTTGGAAGTATTTTCACACACACACACACACACACACACACACACACACACACACGTGACAACTTTATGAATCTTGAGATTTATAGTTTTAAGTAACAAATTTCAAATATGAACAACTTAATAATTCCACTTGAAACTAAAGATGTTTCCTGGTGAGAAAATGATTAGTGTTTAATTAAATGTTATTAAAAATTCCCAGTAAATCTGATTATCTGATAATTTTGAGTTGCTTTTTAAAGGCTAACTTGGAACAATAAACCTGCCAATCATTTTAGGCATTAATTTTGTACCTATAATAATTCAAAAGTAGCATAAAAATTTTGCTTGTTCCCAAATCAAATCTAATAACATTTTTGTAATACATTTGTATTATCTAGATTCATTGGGGTAAAACAATGATAAACCTATCTAAATTTGATATTTTAAAACAAGCTGTAATCGTGATTAACAATATTAAATTTGGCTTCTTAGTCATCATCACTTTTTTTTTTTTTTTTTTGAGGCAGGGTCGGGATTACTCTCACACAAATTAAGGTGGGTTCTGTGTGACAGAGGATCTTGGTTTACCTCAACATACTGAGACTTGTCATAATAATTTGAGGCAAGGTTTTACAAGGCCGGATGCTCTTTTTGACAGCCACTCATATGCTCACAGTAGTCCAGGTACACAGTTTTTATTGAGACACTATCACTAGGAAGATTATCATTCAAGACTCAAGATCCCATTCTAGCTTTATCTCTCTCCCTCCCCTCTCTTTCTCTCTCACACACATACACACACACACATATATATATAAAATTTTGCCCATTGGCTCATATAAGAAGCTCATCTACTCTTTGACAGGCCTTGTTTTTCATTCTTTTCATGCAGCTCTCCTCACCACCAGAAAAACCTAGTGGGGGAGCTGATTTAGACATCAACTACCTATCACTGTGGCAGATTGTACTGAGTTACATATTACCAATAGCAGGCATAAATTTGACCTGACCACACTATTAAATTGTCAGCCCTGATAACCTTGTTTATATATATATATATATATATATATATATATATATATATATATATATATATACACACACACATAAAAAAAGTTAAGATATTTAATGAACTACCAGGTATCCTAGTATTCCTACATTCTCATGTACCAGTGCCAGAATACTCTGACTTTTTTTTTTTTTTTTTCCTGCCTGGACAATGTTGTATCCCACTCAAAGGTGAGAACATGGCTGAAGAGGAAAACAAATGCTAGTCAGATTGAAGTCAAATACTTTCTCAAATATCATCTGTTCTGAACCTATGGAGATGTAGGCAAAAATCCCTGCTATTCACTGAGGCAACAAAAGTACATCCCAGTTTGCTATACACATGCCAATATAAAATGTTATTTATGAAGAGGATTGGACTATTTGGAATTGTTCTATTTCTTATAATCTCCTGGCAATCTTGGCCATAGAATAAAACCCTTTTCGATGAAGTAATGAAGTGTCTTTGCCAGTTTGGTGTCCACTAATTTAATGATTATTCTTTTCAGCAATGGCTGATCTTTTCAAGGCAATGGATGAGAGCTCAACAGCCATTTCTCCTATCATGTTTCTTCATGTCCTACACAGTGCGTTCCCAAAATTTGCTGAAAAAGGAGAACAAGGTGGATTCATGCAACAGGTTAGTTATTTTATCTTTCAATTGGGGATTTTTCCCCCTCTTTCCCACCTCTTTTACTGTGACAATTGAAATACCATGTATTTTTGTCAGAAAAAAGGGATAATTAAGAGATACAGTTTTTTAATAAGCAACCAGTTTTGATGCAAAAATTCAAAAACTATCATTGCATGACAACACAAACATTTAAAATTCAAAATCATACCAAAGATGATTACTACTGCATGAACTTTGAATTTTACTGATATTCTTTCTTGAAAATGACTGAAACTATGCAAAAGTTCAAACCGTAACAAGAATCAACGCAAACTGTGGGCAGTCCCTTTATAACACAAACTGTAGACTAATCCACCAACTAGATAAGCTTATTAAAAATTATGTCATGTCTTCATTGCATTGAATGAAGATAACACAATCAAGAAGTAGTATGTTGCTTGAAGTTGATGTAAGTCTTGCTGAAAATAGGTAGTAAGCAGATAAGCTAGATCTCTAACTCTCTACTTGTTTACTCCTTCTACTGATGTTTCTTGGCATCAGTCTATATGTATTTGAACAAGTCTAAGTCCTTTTCTCTCCACAACAGATAAGACATGATTTGTCTGTGTCGTTAACAAAACTTGTTTGAACATTTGTTTCTTAGAATTCAACATATATGAATGACAGTAAAAATGGATTTTTTTTTTATTATTATTTTTTATCGCTTCATAAATTGTGAAGGCTGAATATTAGAATGATTTTCTTTTTCATAATTATTTTGTAAATAACTGAATATATTTGTAAATTTTTTTTTTTTTATCTTAAAATGCATATTTGGCTATGATTCAGCTGCATGTGTTCACAATGAAGATCAATGTTTGCATTTTAAATAATCATGACAAGCCAGGTGCAAAACCTATTTAGACATTTAGTATTGTGACTGGGCCTAAATGTACACAAAAACTAATGAATAATTATACTTAGCTTCAAACTTCTCACTAGCTTATACAAATTGGTCAACTTATTGAAGATAAATACTTGTGTTGTTTTCTTATTCTCCAGCAAACATGTATAAACTAGAAACTTTTACATTCTTCTTTGTTTTAACATACTATATTGCAAATGCAGAAACCCTTTAAAATGAAGTAAATTGGCTTGAATCTCTTTACTTTCAATTTTAAGTTCCAATTGTCTTATTGTTGTGAGTATAATCTACAAATCATTTTTTTCCCCTCAGATTATAAAACTATCAAACTGTAAGAACACATTTCCTGCAACTATAGATTTATTGTGTTTGTTTTGTTTTTTTTTTTTTTTTTTTTTTTTTTTTTTTTTTTTTTTTTTTTTTTTTTTTTTTTTTTTTTTTTTTTTTTTTTTTTGTTTTTTTTTTTTTTTTTTTTTTTAATAGTTACAATGAGAGGTACTTTCTCTACCAGCATCAAGATCTGGACGGTGAATTACAAATGTCTCCCTTGTAAAACAATGCTGAAAAGTTCTTAGCCTGATCAAGAAGCCTATCTAAAAAATAAATCTGTTTGGGTAGGGTTGAGAACCTTTCAGCACCCTGTTATAGAAAGTAATTTTTGTATTTATAGAAAGAGTGCTTGTCATTTAATTTCCAAGAGGAGACGTTATTTACAATCAGACTAATATCTTCATTGCTATTACTGTGATGCCAATGACAAAAATGAGGACATTAGTCTGTCAGTAACGATTGGCATCTAATATTAAAAGTTAGACTAATTGTTCTCTGAATAGTTAAATGTTTATCATCTTGTAGCTGTTAAACAAATCACCCTTGTCTCCTTAATTTTAAATAGTTATTAATTTTTTGTGATCTTTCTCATTTTTTTTGTGCAGGATGCAAATGAATGCTGGACAGAATTGGTAAGGAGTCTGCAGCAAAAACTCTGTATTACTTCACCAGCCACTGATCAGGTGAGACCGGTCATTTTGAATAGATATTCTATCTTGCAGTTATTTCATAGCCTGCTCAAGGATCCTTAAATAAAGGCTTAGCAGTTATTTGGCGTACAACAAAACATGACTTTTTAAATGTTTTGAAATGTAAGAGTTATATATATTGGTGTGATTTCTGGTGACTGAGCAGACCCATCCTAGACAGACATATCTGATTGCATTAGGCACATGGCCAGGTTGACACCTCACACCAACAGTCTATTGTATATGATGATTTTGTAATGTCATGCTTTGAATGCACAACCTGCACTAGGGTGTGCAAGTCCAGTTTGGGCCTGACAAGGCACATTGGAAGTGATGATGATCAAAGTCAACTTCCACCTGGAGATGATTTTGTACGTGACAAGAAATGCAGATCAATGGCTAGCTTTGAGTCGTTGTCATTCACGCAACCGATGAATGCAGTGTTGGGGAGGGGGTTAACTGAAGGGTTGGACATGTCAGTGATGGTCATACTCACTTTGTGAGTTGACAGCTACTATATATATATATATATATATATATATATATATATATATATATATATATATATATATTTTCTTATCAATATGAGTATTTATTTGGAGAGTTTATTTAAAAAAAATCTTTTTAGAGTTTTTAAAGATTGATAATTTATATGATTTTACTTTGAAAGCCCTTAAAGTGTGTGTAAAAATGCCTGGATTAACTAGACATGAAATCTTGCATTATCAATATACAATCTAATAATCAAAACGAGTATTGTTTTGTGTTTCCTTTATGGAAAAACATGTAAATCCCTTGCAGGGCTTCATTGTATATCACACAATTTATAAGTCACTTGTACATATTTCAGTGATTTTTTTTTTTTATTTATTTTTCATACTATTTCAATTTGTACATAGTCACTTATTTTGTATATAATTTTTAATCAAATTTAGTTTTTGTAATAAATATGATTTAGTATAATAGTGTAAATTGTCAATTCTATTAGTTGTCTTATATGTTAATATTAGAAATAGGCATACTTGATTAACAAGTTGACAGTCATCATATATGTGCGTGTATATACACACACACACACACACACACACAGAGAAAGTAAGATGTTAATATTTTAATTATATATGTGCAAAGAAATACAGTGACTATAATAATAATAATTGAAAAAGTCGATAATTTAATGCTTAAAGCAGTGGGGTGCTTGGTTTACAAGATATGACAATTAAGTTGAGCTTGAGAACCACTGGCTTGGACAGTTTGGAAATAATCCCCCTCATGGTGAATGTTGGGCTAAATGCAACGAGGAGCATGATTTAGTTAGAAATGAAAATGACCATAATAAGACAAGTGCTTAAAAGTTACCAACTGTGTTGTTCAAACATTACTTGCTAAATGGGATTTCCCAAAATCTAACCAAATGACAACATCAGATAAAAAAAAAAACTCCTTTGTATATAAAAATTTAACTTTTTAAAGATGGGTTAAAGACGAGCATATTTTTTTTTAATTTGTCTACTCTAAAATAATTCCTAGTTTTGACAATTGATATATTTTTCTTTTTCAGGGTGAAGGGGCAGCTTCATCACAATCTAAAAAATTAATTGACCAGTTTATGGGCGGAGAATTTGAAGTCATGTATCCTTACCAGCAATCTCTTAATCTTATTTTATTTATTTATTTTTCTTCATACCATTTATAATTTTATTTGAACCCCCCCCCCCTTTTTTTTTTATAACAGAAAAGGTTTCCTACCATTTTAAAAAGAAAAAGTAACTCTCTAGCCTTGTAATGTATGTTGTTTTCTTTGGCTTAAATTATTTGGCAAATCTAAAAATCAATTTAGAATTATATGCAGACTGCATGACTGAAATTATTTGGGCTTCATTAATGAAATGGTTTTAAGATTTGGGACCACTTTATTTCATCAGAATAAAGTCCTGTAACTTTTTAAATGTTTCTGGCTATTTGGAAGCCAGAAGCATACTTCTGGGAGTCTTGTAAAATCCAACTTTCCTATCTAGGCTTTACACTTGACTTATCAAGTTAATTCCCATTTTAATAAATTCACTCACTTGTAAAATCCACACCCATAATTCTGTTACAGTAAGAAAAATTAATAAGAATTATTTGTTGCTTTGTCCTTAATTTTGTTGCTAGTATGAAATGCAATGAAGCAGCAGAAGAGGATATTTCCAAATCAGTTGAGAAATTTTATCAACTCAGTTGTTTCATTGAAAAAGGTAGGTCCACATATCAACATGTTTTCTATGTTCACCCTATGGAAGATTTTGATATGTTTTAAATGCACCCCCACAAAAAAAAAAAACAAACTTCAGGTTATATTTAGATGTTTGATTTTTTAAAAAAAAAAAAAAAAAAAGAAAAAAGAAAGGCCAATTTATTTGTCAACTAAGTTTTGGATGGGCAGTTTTTATATTACTCAGCTTATTTACCATTAACCATTTGTCAGATTCAAGTTTGACTTGAAGATGATAAAGTCAGCACTGTGACTGGATAAGAATATTTTGTCATTCCTTTAGAATGTTATTCTTTTAATTTGGATTATCTTGAATGTTCTCCAATTTTTTATTGGACAATCCTGCTACTAATTATTTACTTTTATGAAAATTGAATTTCTTAAGCAGTTAACACTTGCAGTTAATATATTTAGGCATTCCTGATGAGGAAAATATCTACATTTGAGTTCCATTCCCAACTATCTTAGTCTTGGGTATGACAAACTACATCTGGCAGCAAGACCTCTGATCACGAGATTGGTGGTTGTGAGGAGTATGGATCCACTTGTTAATTGCTGTTGTTCCCCAGTCCACCCCTGACCTGTTGTGGTAGCACTTGTTAGGTTCCCAGCTATGGGTAAATAGTGCCCCCCCCCCTCAAACACAAACAAAACACTATGAAAGTATAAAAATACATTTTTATAGTAAAATTGCCAGCAATACATTTTATCTGTAGTTGAAGGCATACAATTGTGTTCAAATGATATTTAGCTTAAATCTTAAATTTTACACAAAATATTTAGATTTCAATATTAAATAACAGATTGATATGCTGCTAAACAAAATCACCCAATCAACCAACTTAACTATCCTATTGATATTTGTTTGTATATTAGCAATTAGATAAAATTGAAAAAACAAAAAAGAACAGCATATGCCAATTACACTGTCATATGCTGTTCTTTTTTATTTTTCAAATCTACCATGCAGATGTTGATTTAACTAATATCTTGTTAGTTTTATAAAAATTGAAAATGAACAATTAAGCATCTTCCACCTTTTATGTAAACAAATGCATTTATCAAATCTCTTTTTAGGTTGTTAGGTGTCATTTCAGTCACTTATTAGCTGTAATGTTAAATTTAAAGAACTTTTTCTATTCATCTGTCCACTGTATATATGATAAACTGAATCATATCCATTAAGATTCTGTTCATGTTTGAAACCTGCACCATGTAAGCTTTTTAGCATCATTGTAAAGTTTGAAAGTTATCAAATGCATTTATTGTATTTTAAGAAATCTTTTGTATCTTTTGAAATTGTATTTCTAAAATAACATTTTTCTTGAATTATTTTCAGAGGTAAAATTTATGCACACAGGATTAAAATCAGTAAGTATCTTTCATTTTTATTTATTTTTCTTTTGATTTTTTTCTTTATTTTTCTTTTGATTTTTTTCTTTATTTTTCTTTTGATTTTTTTCTTTATTTTTCTTTTGATTTTTTTCTTTATTTTTCTTTTGATTTTTTTCTTTATTTTTCTTTTGATTTTTTTCTTTATTTTTCTTTTGATTTTTTTCTTTATTTTTCTTTTGATTTTTTTCTTTATTTTTCTTTTGATTTTCTTTTTTTTTTCCTTTTTTTTTTCTTTTTTTTTTCTTTTTTTTTCTTTTTTTTTTTTTTTTTTTTTTTTTTTTTTTTTTTTTTTTTTTTTTTTTTTTTTTTTTTTTTTTTTTTTTTTTTTTTTTTTTTTTTTTTTTTTTTCTTTTTTTTAAGATATGCTTGCCATTATAAAATGATTTTGAAACTTTTTATGTATCAAAAGATTTTAATCTCAGAAATCAAACCGGTAGTTTTAATGTATGCTATATGAAGTAAAAAAAAAAAATATAGTTTTAATGTATGCTATATGATAAAAAAAAAAATATAGTTTTAATGTATGCTAAAAAAAAAAATATAGTTTTAATGTATGCTATATGAAGTAAAAAAAAAATAGTTTTAATGTATGCTATATGAAGTAAAAAAAAATATAGTTTTAATGTATGCTATATGAAGTAAAAAAAAAAATATAGTTTTAATGTATGCTATATGAAGTAAAAAAAAAAATATAGTTTTAATGTATGCTATATGAAGTAAAAAAAAAAATATAGTTTTAATGTATGCTATATGAAGTAAAAAAAAATATAGTTTTAATGTATGCTATATGAAGTAAAAAAAAAATATAGTTTTAATGTATGCTATATGAAGTAAAAAAAAATATAGTTTTAATGTATGCTATATGAAGTAAAAAAAAAAAATATAGTTTTAATGTATGCTATATGAAGTAAAAAAAAAAATATAGTTTTAATGTATGCTATATGAAGTAAAAAAAAAAATATAGTTTTAATGTATGCTATATGAAGTAAAAAAAAAATATAGTTTTAATGTATGCTATATGAAGTAAAAAAAAAAATATAGTTTTAATGTATGCTATATTTAAGTGCTCAATATCAGTGATAGAATGTATCTAAGCACCCCGCGGTGATAGTCTGTTTCATGCTTAAGCACAATTTTCTATACATGGTCTGAAGATTGCACTTAAGCATGAAACATTGTTGCTGCTGGGTGTTGACCTCAATGTCCACTTATATATACTGGCAATTCTATCATTCAAGAAGCACTTTCTCTGAAAAACAAATGGTATTTGTCTGTCCTTTGTGAAGTTTGTGTTCATTGACATTCTTTGCCATTTGTTAAACATATCTTCATTTCCAGTCTTTTCTGTTGGATGCTATTTATCAGTTGTTTGTCGGTTCCTTTTAATTTACTGAAGAGCCATTGTTTATTGATCATTGGGAATGGCACTTTGCTCATGAATTGAACCCTAGCAAGATTGAAGTGTGCAGCATCTTCTCACTCACATGACTGTATAGTAATTCTTATTTTTAATAAATTAACTTTTTGAAAGTCTTGCTTTGAAACTTCTTGTTTAATAGTAAGAAAAATATTTTTTTCCTCTTCTACAGCGCTTGGAAGAAACGATAACCAAATATTCTCCCACTTTAGGCAGAGATGCTTTGTACACAAAATCTGTAAGTAAAACCTGACTATTTTTTTTTCATGTGTATGTTTTAAATATTGTAAATATCATTGGTTTTGCATTGCAAATAATCTCAAAAGTCAATATTTTTTAATCTGCTTAAATTGATTGAATACATATATTTGAATTTCCTTTTCACTTACACCTATTCAAATTAACATCAAAACAAATGAATCATTGATATTATTAGCCAACATTTAATAACATAACACAATCAATGTTTAGTGTTGTTTTTGGCCATTTGTAATAAACCTTCTAATGAATACATTTGTCTATATTTCTGAGATGAGGTATTGTAACTGTTTACACTATTTGGACTGTTGTCCACATCTTTATTGCCATATTCACAATGTTTTGACCGTTTTACACTCTGGCCTTCTTCATGTGATATACGTTGGAATTTTTAACCAAACCCTTTATTTAGATTGTTCTAGTTTTACAAGTCATGTCTTTCCTGGATATCTCAGTTTCTCCAAGTTTTTGTTCACCTCTGCTGTGGCCAGGTATTGAACTCGTAATTCTTTGGGTCAAGTCAATGGATTACTTCAGTCAACACTTTCATCCACTGGGCTATGTGCACTTGGAGATAAAAGGGTTGGTTTCATAGCGTACAATGGCCAAAATGTTGTGAATATTACAATTAAGATGACAACAGTCTAAACAATGTAAATAGTATTTCTAGTGAATCTTGCCCATTTTTTTCTTTCTCCTTTTTCCACACACTTGAATGGTTACAATGTAAATAATGTCAGAATTCTTTACTTATAAGTCACTGTACTTATTACAATATAGGATTACTATTGCTTTATGTAATCTGTAAAGATGTTTTTTGTTTTCATGTCTGTTTTCTCTTCTTGCCCATTTAACAAACTTTTCCAGATTAGACACTGATGCATAGAGCATGGAACTTCTTGTGTAATTTTATAGTCTTTGAAGTTGCCATGGCAAAAAATAATTTTATATTGAAACAGAATGGGTTTTCTAATTAAAAAAAGAAATTGCTATGACTTTTAAGTACAAGTGGGATGTTGAAAAGCTTTCTGCTTGCCCCACTTTGTAAAATCAGTGTTTTAATGTTCAGTCATTGAAATATGTATTCTTTTGGGAAGTGGGATAAGATGAGAGCTTTTCAGCACCTCCTATTATGTAATTTGACATTATATTTTGAAACATTTTCATTTTCAGAGTAAAATCAGCCGTTTACCAGCGTATTTATCTATTCAGTTTGTTAGGTTTTGCTATAAGGAAAATGTATCAATAAATGCCAAAATTCTCAAGGTAAGCTTGCCACATTTTGATAATCTTTTAACTTTGATTCTCCTCTTAATATTGAGTATTGCTTTTGATCAGTCTTGATATTTTCTTGTTTTGTATTCCGATTTCTTTGCTGAGAGGTTTATCGTGAGAAGAGTTAAAAAATCAATTTGAGAAAGGCTTCTTTTTTTTTTTTTCTTTATGAATCTCAAAGTGGTAGAATATGTTGAATAGATGAGGAGTCAAAGAGAAATAAAATTTCAACACTAATTACACAATGGTTTCCAGAATTTTTTTTAGAATTGTTATTTCTATTGTTATTTGAAATTTGTTCTTCCTGTAATGTTAGAATATAATGATATAATATATTATGATAAGAATATAAGACTAAATTTTTCATCCATAAAATTGTTTATTCACTTCTGGACTCCATCAAATTAACATCAGCCATGGAGTGTATATTGTTTTGGGGTACATTTGCTCTTCTTGCAAGGATGCAAGAGACTTTGCTTCACCAGGTGAAATATTTGTCAATGACAGGAGCAAAAGCATCATCCAGGTGTTCATTACTGAACCTTGTTCTTGAACAACTTAGTATATTTCATTTTCTAAAAAAAGTACTTCACAGGCATATGTACTTCCAAATAATGATACAATCATTTTCATATTATTCAATAGGCTTTTATATTTTCTGGTTGGCAAAACATAGAAGTCAAGAGTGAATTCACAATTAAATTTTGATTTAAAAAAAAATCCATTGCATTGCAAGTCAATTAACTCCAACTGATATTTTTCTGTCACTTGCTCCTCAAATTAATTAGATGTCCAGGTGTTAAGTTGGTGGTCAGGGAAAAATAATTGTTCACAGGCTGGATGTGGCCCAGAGGCTGGGAGTTGCAACCACTGCATTACTCAATGTCAATAAACAGATGTGCCTCATCTTACCATAAAAATGGAAAATATTAGTAAAGCAGACTAGGCAGCTAATACACTGCTTGTTTACTTTGAATATTTTTAATTTAATGATTTATGAAAGTAGAATTAGTTAATTGTATAAATAAAAAAAAAAAATCCTGGGATACTCGTGCAGAAAATATTATGCAGTTGCAAAATTGATGGTATAGAAAACAGAAGAGCAAAGGGATGTTTTATTACACACTGAAGAGAATTTTATTATGCAAAATATTGCACCTTCTTTCTATGAGTTTGATATTCTTCTGAATACAGTTTTGCTTGTTTGCATTGGCCTCCCTTTTGTTTTTCTTACTTGTTTGTAATTTTGTTGACAGGATGTAAAATTTCCCCTCAATCTTGATGTCTATGATTTGTGCACAGAAGAATTACAAAAGAAACTTGTTCCTGTGAGAGACAAGTTCAAGATCATGGAAGATCGCCAATTGGAAGAGCAGGGCAAAGTAAGACGGTTTTGCAGTTTTTAGATTTTTAACTCTGTACTATGCATTCAAGGTTGAGTTTTTTGTTTTTTAGCTTCCATTACAAAAGAAATAAACTCTAGTAGTTAATGTCTACATAATCAGCTTGTTTAATAATTATTTATAATTGTTACAGGCAAAGTATGATCCAGAATATGCAAAAAGTCTTGAAGGAAGAAAAATGAAAATTGAGCCATTTTCTTTTTCTGAGGGTAAGCAATTTTTTTTCTTTTCTTAAGACTTATTAAAATGTCTGAAAAATACAAAATATTTGAAATTCTAACTTTTTCTAATTTTAAGCAGTGGCTAGTTATTTAAATCTGATATTTTTTTTTTTTTTTTTTTTTTTTTTTAAGTATTTATGAAAGTCTGTCTTAATTTGCAATTGTTCTTTAATTTCAGATGATGGTTCTAGTAACAGTGGTTATTATGCATTGAAAGCTGTACTTACACACAAAGGACGAACAAGTTCTAGTGGACATTATGTGGCATGGGTTCGATATAAAGACGGTAAGAGCACTCTGTAATTCCTTCGAATGCTCAATCAAATGAAGGATCCAAATGCTAAACCTTTCAAAATAACACTGAAAATTAATGTTGAACATCCAAAATGATTGACTTAGAAGAAATGGGGCCAGAAATTGGTGTATGCTAAAATAGGATATAATATGCCAAGTGCCTTTTTTCTCTAACTTTTTTTTCTGTACTAGTTATCTCCCTTGCATTTGCAATTTATTGATCTATTCTAAGACATAAATTAGGATTATTAGTAGTGCAGCAGTAGGTGTATTTAACCTTTACCTTTTCTTTCTAGAATTGTTCTCCCTACCACTGCATGTTTTTGAGGGTGCAAAAAACATGAGCACCTACTTGTTAAAATTTTTTGTATTGTGTGTATATTTTTTTTTTTTTTTTTTTTTTTTTTTTTGTATACTAATAAAAGAATGGATGAGTAATATTTTGATGTAAGGCATTACGTTTTGCATGCATGTTTTGACAGAAAAACCCCCAAAATAAATGCATTAAAAATTTAACATTTTATTGCTCCTTGTGAAGTTCTGGACTGCAGAGTGCCACATCACACTTTCTGCACACAAACTGGGTCTGGTGGCGGCACTTTTCTCTGAACAAACACCACAATCTGGGTGAGAAGGCTTGCCACATTTCAGTCACTTGGTGTTGATTGTAAGGTGGTGTTCTGTTAACACCACCCTTTCTGGGGTTGGGTCTTCAGTCCTCCTACCTCTCTGCAGCATTGACCCTGTGAATTGACTTTGCTTTCCATATGACCTGCAGAGTTCAAGCAGATTTTTAAAAAAAAAAAAACAAAAAAAAAAAACTTGGTACATTAGTGCAGCAATGTGTAGTAGGTTATCTGTTTGTCAGCCCTGTCTACTCCCACCATGTACTGAGAATAAAACTTCAGAGCACAAGGCTTGTACATAATCCTCGTATGACTTTCATGACGTTGTGACCAAACTTCTTTCCTGAAGGTCTTGGCAGTGTGGGCAGTTGTCAAATTTACTGGCCTTCTGTCATACCAGGAAATATATAAAATGTGTCTCTCTGTGTGATAAGTGGCTCATCTGCTCAGGGCTTTGCGACTTTCATTTAATTCAGTACACCTTTTCAGTTCACACGCAGTGTACCTCATGCTCCTGTTCCATGTTGGGCGAGGTGGTGAAACAATGCAGTGGATGAAAAAAAAAATTGTCCATGTAAATTACATGTCTCCTGTTTTGCATATTCTCTAACAGGAAGGACAGTTTTTAGGGAGCACCAACTGTCCTTGGTGCCTGAGCCATTTAACAGCCCAAGTACAGCTGCCAATTGTAAATGTAACTAGTTTTTGCATTGCCTAGTCTCCAGGCTTTCAGGCCCCACTTGGTTGATTTTGCTGGTCCTGCCACTGAGAGTTCCTTTTTGGGATAAAAGTATATTTTTGCCAAAGTGGCACAAGTCTATCTGAAAATGGCTGTATCTTAAATGCCCTATCATGTTCAGGGTGGTTCTTTGATTTTGCATTTGAGTTATCTGAAAGACAAAAAAAATGACAAAATCCTCAAAAACCTGTCTCAATCCATGGGGCCAGTAGCTTCCATAAAATTAGTCAGCCATGGATGATAGCTGCTTGGCACCTCGTGGTCATTGTAGCTTTCCTCCCCGTCACTAGCATGGTTATCATCTCCATCTCCGATCATTTCACCGTGAATATCTGCCCGAGTAAAGCCTTCAAAATCATTGTCAGAAAGAAAAACACCTGAATAAATGCGTTGTTAAAGGTTGATGCATCCATTTTTGTTTACAAAAAATTGCAACAAAATTAACATGGGTTTAATTGATGTTACACCCACATGTAGGGTATAGAAGAATTAAAAAATGGCATCAGAAAAATGGAAGTTTAGCCTCATTCCAAAGTTGAGTAGTCTATTTCCAGCTTAAAATACTAGAAAAAACAGTTGACAAGTGTTTATTTATAGCAACCTTCTTGAGATGGCAGAATGCACCTGCAAAGGGAGAGAATTCTTTGTCAACAATTTTCACCTCCAGCTAGATAAAGGTTAAAGTACAATAACCTAATGGATCCCATTCCTATTCAGGCTGGGTATTTAAAGACCTACACAAGTAAATCCAATAACACAAAGGATTTAAAATATCAGATTTTTTTTTTTTTTTCTTTTGGTGGTTTTGAGTAAACACACACGGGGAATATATATTGTATAAACTCTATATATCAGACTAATGGTACATAATTGTAGTGATTCAAAAATAAGAAGCAGGAGCTCCATCCCCTGTTTTATTAGGTTATAGTAATGGAAGGGAAGTAGAATTCCCATAATACAGTAGAAAGACACTTTTGATGTGAAAATACAAAGTCTCCAGGTCAATTGTTGATCTAGAAAGGCATGTTTTCTTAAATGAGCTCACAAGAACGATGTCTCTTCATACAGATAAGCCTAAAACCATTTCTTTCTTTCTTTGTTTGCTTTGCCTTAATACATACAAATCTCTTGCTTCCTTTTATATATATATATATATATATATATATATATATATTGTGTGTGTATGTTTTATGAATAATATTAAATTAATCAGTTAATTATGTAAGCAATTGTATTTTTTTATCAAATATCAATGATTTATAAATGTTATATCTTGTTACATGCACACCAAAAACTGTTCATATTTTATTTCATGTTTTCATGTAATAATTGCACATGAATATTAATTTAATAAACAGATGATATAATCTTGGCTAAAAATAACAAAACTAAGAACAAGGCTTCATCACCCCCCAATTTCTCTATTATGCAATACATCATTTGAAAGCACTTTTTCAGACCAAATGATTTTACTAATGGCATCCTATCAGCTTCTTTGCTGTCTATCCCTTGACTTTGTTTCACTGGGATTGGTTTCTCCACTTTTATTTTCTATATATGATCAACCATACCATCCTGCTCCTTTTTTTTTTTTTTTTTTTTTTTTTTTTTTAGATGATAGTTGCTCTTGCTGAGCCATGTTAACAGTGGAACAACTTTAGACCAGTGTCTTAATGTTGTATACAATGCAGACTTCTACAAGAAGAAATTATTACCTAAATAACATGGCCACCTATTTTGGTATAAAATGTTTGTTGTGGGAAGGAATGAAAAGATGATTTTGTTAATGTAAATTCTTTAAGAAATTAAACATTTTTTTCCAGATGATTGGATAAAGTTTGATGACGACAAAGTATCTTCGACTCCTTCCTCTGAAATTCTCAAATTGTCTGGCGGTGGTAAGTAAATTTAGACATATTTAATTTTTCTTAATTATTTAATTATAACAATTTGCAGTTTAAGTGGAATTTTACAGTGGATTTGAACAAAAATTGTATATGAAAAACTAAGATAATATAACAGGACAGTTTTTTTATCTTTTAAAGATTCATTACAGTGCCTGTAAAGGGATAACTAAACCTGGCTATTCTGCAGGTTGTCATTGAATAGGAGTGGCAGGTCTGATGTTTGCAAATTGAAAAGAACCATGATGTGTGCTGTCAAAAGACTCTGTTGTCGGACACAATTTCAGTTTGGGCGTTTCTCCCCTCTACACCGGCTTTCCGAGTCCTTGCAGATTAAGCCAAACTGGGCCAATTTAGCTCTTACTGTCTGTGATGACATGATGTCTTTGTTTACATAAATGTCATCGATGTACACTGACATCCCTTCTTTTACTGTCTCTTTTTGAGACAACCTGGCACTGATAATTGCCTTCATTATCTGTGGTGCCACGTTCAGTCCAAAGCTCAGTCTCGTAAGGCAGTACCTTCTGCCAGCAAACATAACTGTCTGAAACGGCCACAATGACTCACCAACTCTAACTTGCAAATAGACCTTTCATAAATCCAGCAAGGAGACATTAGATCCATGTTGTCGCCATTCCCACAGTTTGCATTCACAGCTGATGCTTGTGTCAGCAATGTGCCGACATATTGGTTCAGCTCTCAGAAATTCATGACGGGACTGACTTTTGACTTGTTTGTTTGCAAAATTGCCATCAAAGGGATCAGGCCTTTAGGAGATCAGAGTTTTCCATGAAGATAGGGAATCAACCAGCCATCTTTTAATCCATGTGCAGAGCTCCTTTTCGTACGCAGGTCTTATTTGGTTGGGCACATGGTATTCATCTACACGGTTTTGTAGCATGGCTGGCTCCCAGTCCCCTGTCCATTTCCATGAGGTAGTCCCAAATCTTCTGATGCTGGTCAAATACAATACTGAAGTTGGGTTTGTTTATTCTTAAGTGTTGCACATATGGGGGCCTACTTCCGAAAATTCACTGTTCCAGTCTGCGAGATGAGAACACCACCTAAGGCTTTGATGGCGTCATAACCCAGTAAGCAGGTCAAAGTTTAATGGCTTCTCATGCACCACTAGCACTTTGATGTCAGTGAAATTCCCAGTCTTTGTATGGATCCTAACTATCTCTATCCCGTGACGTGCGCATTTCACCATTTATGGTGGTCACTTTGACTTACTCTTCTTCCAAGCTCAGCAAAGTTCAGCACTTACTATAGTGCAAGAGCATCCGGAATCAATGAGTGCTGAGCATGGCGTGTCATTGATATAGATTTGGATGACTGGCAGCGTCTCATTTATACATTGTCTGGGGAAGAGATCGGCACCATCTTCTCCCTGACCTTGTTTCCTGGGCAATCCCAAGCTATATATATATATATATATATATATATATATATATATATGTCATCCACAGACAGATTATTTCGCTGTATCACAGCTTTTCAGTGTGGCTAGATGTCCGATTGCTTCAAGCCGGGATCAAAACCCGATCAATTTGACATCAGTCAGAGATCCTATCCCTGATGGTTTATAGATAAAAAGTTGCAGGGATTGATTGTTTGTAAATAGAAGAGTGGACAGACTTGTCTGTTTATTTAATCTAATTTAAAATATTAAACTGAATTGTATCTTTTTTTTTTTTTTCCTTCCCCCATAATGAAGTTTGGTGCGCTAATGGAAATTTTTGTTTCCTATTGTCTTTAACTAATTTAGTTATTCCCCCCTGCAAAAAAGAAAAACTTGATTGATGGTCCCAAGCAGCAGCAGGCTTGTCTCCCTTTCTTCTAATTTGCATTTGTTCAAGGAACCAAATATAGATATCATAACAACATAAGAGAAGTGAAGTTATTATGATAGTGGGAAGACAGTGCACACTTATCTAAGGGTGAAAAGGCTGTATTAAGAGTTCAGCTTGGTCATCTTGTGGATTTCCAAAGCTCAAAACAAGTCTTAGTTTGAAACAAAATGAGTTGGATGCAAGCTGATTGCATCGCATATGTGCCTGACACTTTGAAATATTGATGCTACCAATTATGAAGATCAGGAAAATATCTGACCTTTTGCAATTTTAGCCACATTTTTAATGAAAAAAAAAAAAAAAAAATCAACATTTGTGACCTGCAATAAAATTCATTTCAAGGAAGAAAAGAGTCCCTTTTACATATAAACAATTGATTCATAATATTTTGACAATAATTACAGGAAGCTTTTTTTTTTTTTATTATACTGTTAGCTTGAGATTTTAAGGGAATGAGTTGCTTGTCTATTTTTTGTTAATTATGTTTTTAATGTCTGTACATTTGTTAATACAAGACATCTGTAAAAAAAAAAATAAAAATTTTATTAGATTTATGTTCAGCCATCCCTTCTAAATTTGACTGAATGTAAATATTTAGATATTTTTGTCTTTTTCTATAAACTTTCTATAGAAATAGAATCTGTTTTTACAGATGATTCGAATTATCTCTCCAAACTTACTGAATTAGTACCTGAAAATGTTTTTAATGTTTCTGTCAAAAAATATTAGAAATACTGATAATGTTTCAAGATATGTTTTTTCAGAAAATAAAAATTGTTTTTCTTTCTTTCTAGGTGATTGGCACTGTGCCTATGTGCTTCTTTATGGTCCACGCACTGTAGAAATGGTTGATGAGTAAGTCTCGGCTGGCAAACAACATAGAGGCATTTTTAAACTAATTTTTTTAAGAACAGAAATTTTTAAAATTTCTGTTTGGAAATGAAAGATTGAAAACAAGCTCCATTGCTTGAGTGCTTTTTTTTTTTTTTTTTTTTTTTTTTTTTAATACTGTTTTCCAAGAAGCAGTCATGATATCTACAGCATTTATAACCTTATGAATTTTATTAATATTATTGATATTAAAGATCATTTTGCTAAAAAGAAAAAGTTAACAAAAAAGACAAATACCAACTGCAATTGAACCTTAGCAATATTTTATCAATTTTGCCAGATATCACTGACTTGTTCTTCTGTTATAAAGGAAGACCTTCCCTACTCCCTCAAGCCAGCCAGCACTTGTCTTGTTGTTGTTGTGGACAAGAACAAGATGACAAAGAAATGAATGCTGTAATTCAATTTGCAATTCACGTATCTTTCACATGCCTAATAAACAATAACAAACACTATGTTCTCTTCAGTTTTGGATTTTTTTGGGGTGGGGAAGTTTATATATAACTTTGAAAACGGTTTTATATTAAAATCTTTTCACTGAAAAGCTCTGCTCAACCTAAAATCTGTATTCTGAGGTTTGTTTAATAAAATACTAATTTTTTGCTAAGTGGTACCAATGTATACCAATCTTTGTGGCACTTTTTGGGGAGTGCTTCTTGGATTTGACCAGAGACTTACTCAGGATCTGAGCAGATCATGATCCTAGTTAAATCACAACCTCTCCCGCAATCTTGTCAGTATATGTTACTAAAAGACCCTGTGAATTATTCTTCTACTATGCCGGGGCTGAAGTGGAGTTAAGCATTCTAAATGTTGAGCAGTCTGCATGCCCTGGTTAGTTTTTAAATTTGCAAACTGATGTGTCTACTGTTGTTTTTATTGTTAAACTTTGTTTACAAATTCCCTACTGACAAAAGGTTTTCTTAATGCATGTTAATGGCCTGACTCTTGCCATTTGTATTATCTCTCTTCATTTTTTTTTTTCCTTTTTCCACAACAAGCAATGTCATTAAGAATGCAAGGTGTTACCAAGAGTGAAAGAAACAGGGTTCAAGGACACAGAAAATGTCAACTGACATTCCATTTAAATTTTTGAAGATTGTAGTTAACAAGGAAACTGGAAGAGAGTTCCACAAGCAGCAGAACATAGACTTTAGGGCTACAACTAGCAATTTCAACAGTACAAATGAGACTTAGTTGCCAGTCTAGTACTGCACTTAAATTTGTGAAGTTGAGATACCAACAAGGAAAGCTCATCAAATTACCATGGAAATATTTATAAGAGGCAAAATGTTATGGCAGCATGAAAGTGACTGAAGCTGAGGTGACAGGTCAGGACCAATAACATTGCCGATTCATCTTTGGATTCTGTGAAGAATCTCTAGATATACAGTAGAAGCACCAGACCAGATGTGTCAACAATATTCAATACATGGGTGAATGGTAGGCTTATTCGGGTGAGAAAAAATTATCTAGCATAACATAGTGAACTAACTTCAGACAGCAAAGAGGTTAGCAGCAGCCATGCTGATGGAAGTTAAAATGAAGATGACTAATAGAGAGCAGTTCCTTTTTAGAGGTGCTACAATTAACAAGGCACTTCTTGCCCCAGTTAACAACAGAGTAGGTAATTTTTAAGATCAGCTGCCAATTGGATTTTATTGAACCTATCAGACTTAACATTTACTCCTGTCTTAATGTTATCAGCAGAGATGCTGAGGTGGAAAGATCATTGCTGAAAAACAGAGTAGAAAAGTGACTGAAGACGAGAGGGTCAGGTCAGGACTGATAACCCTGTCTAACAACATTTGGGTTAAAAAAGTCAACCAGTGTTATTAACAGTGAACAGTTTCATTTTAGAGGTGTTAAAATTAACACTTCACAGGTCATAACAGATTATAGGTAATTTTTGAGATCAGCTGCCAATTTGATTTTATAGAATCTATCAGTTACTATTGAGATGAGTTTAAATAGTTGTCATCAGCATATAGGTACCAAGTTGAGAACTGACAACATAGGGAAAGGTCATTAATTAATGAAAATAAAGAACAGAGTGGGTCCAAAAATAAAGCTCTGGAGGATACCTGCATGAATGCAAAATGATCTAGAGGAGTGGTCATTCTAATCAATTTTCATTATGTGGTTTGATAAGAAAGATTGAATCAAATCCAAGAAATGAATCCAAGAAATGGCCAGAAACACTAACTCTTCAACTTCTGAAGACTAGCTCTGTCAAATGACTTCATCACCCAGCACTCAATATATTCTTGATCCCAATACAGTATCACAGTAGAAGTTGGATAGTACTAATTAAAAAAACTTTAAATTTGGAACAAGATTCAACCTAGTTTAGGGTCAGCTGGCTTATCTCGATTATCATTTTTCCACTGGTGTTAATCGTGAAACAAGGAATACCCACCCTTAACTAAAACCTTGTTAAAATTCAAACTCAGACCATTTCAAGTATTTAATTTTATTATAATTAAGTGCTTTGTTTTTTTTTCAAAAGCCCACTAGAAAAAACAAACCCAAAGATAACTTCCATTTTCTCATTTCAACTGACACCAGGTATAGATTCACTTGTAAAATCCATACCAGTAACTTATTCCTCCCTTAGCCACTTGCAATTTATGAAGTAAGCTAAATTATGACCCCAGGAATTCTCATTCCAACTTGCACCCAGTATAAATGTATTTACCTATAAAATCTACACCAGTAACTTACATCAACACCGCTTCATATATTACTAGCCTAGTAATGTATGTTGTTTTCTTTGGCTTAAATTATTTGGGCTTCATTAATGAAATGGTTTTAAGATTTGGGACCACTTTATTTCATCAGAACAAAGTCTTGTAACTTTTTAAATTTAAATGTTTCTGGCTATTTGGAAGACATTCTATGAAAATAAAATTGAAAGATGAGGTTTAATCTTTTTGAGTATTTCTTTCATCTTTAAGTTACATTTTAGCTTCATGTTCAATGAGTAAGGATTGGCAAGTCTCAAAATTACAACAATTATTTGTATGAATCTGTCTTACCATAACAGATAAGGCAATGAAAGTTATCAGTTTCAGCTTCCTTTTTCCTGGATGTCTGATAATTCTGGCATTTTACATACATAAGTAATAGTAGTTATAGGATTTGAATTTATTAGATAAAATAATTTACTATTTATTTTCCTTTTAATCTTAGTTGTTTTATTGCAACTCACAGATTTGTAAAAAAAAATTGCTCATGTCTATTAATGTGTGTGTGTGTGTGTATATATATATATATATATATATAAAAAAATTTAAAAACAATTTCTGATTCTACATTCTCTAGATTCAATTGTGATAAAAATTGCAATAAATATTCTTAAAAAATTTGTTTGACATTATTTGGTAAGTTTGTTAAAAAAAAAAAAAAAGACAAAATTAAAGGCTTTTAGTTTCTTTTTAAGACTAATGAAAGCCCATGTCCACCAATATTAAATTGAGTATTTGCAAAGGTGCATTTCTCCCTTTCCTGAATTTATGGTTGTCTTTTACAAAAAGGAAAAAAAAAAAAGGCCAAAATAACACTGAGGATTTTATTTTTCATTTAAAAAAAAAAACTCCTGGAATTGAAACTGATGTGCATCAGAAGCAATATACAACAGGCCACCACAAGATGCACGTGTCATGTGGCAATAAACATTAACTCTGAATTCTGATTTAAAAAAACACAACAGTAATTTAATACCGAAGTGTGATTACATAGATGAGTAGATGTGTGAAATGAACACACTCCTTGCCCCAAAAGTCATCAGTTTTAGCATTTGTTAATTGTAACAGTGTGACTAGCCATTTCCAAACAGGAAACAAACAGCATTAATGTAGAATCTATAAAAATCTTAGTTTTTCAGGAAAATAAACTTCCTAATTTCTCTAATATTTATTGGAATTTTCAACCAAATTTTTTTTTTTTTTTCTAGTGTGAAAAGTTAGCTTGATGATGTCCTTGTATATTCTTTTCTAGTTATGTTAGCCATTTTTGTTGTTGACAAGTTATTAATTACCTAAAGTTTTAAGTGGAAAAAAAAAAAAAGTTTTTAACTTTGTGTGCGATGGGGAGAAGTGAAATTGAGGTTGCCAAGACCTATAATAAGAAATCTATCTTTGACGTAACTTTTATTATAATATAATTGCTCTATTTTTATTATTAGTTATTGTTAATTTATCTTATTGTGTTTAATTTATAAGCTAAACTTTATCGTATATATATAATTAATTTTAGTAATATCCAGTTTCAGGCATCTGAATTTCTTGGAATGATGAAGGTATCTCCTTAATTTTATATTAAGCATTTCCATACCAAGAGTTGTTCAGGCAAGTTATTTTTACTTTTGTTGTTACCATAAAAGTTTGATCAATCTATTCTTCAGATATACAATGTATATAGAAACAGAAAAAACGTTTTTTATTTTTCTGGTTTGTTTTTCCTGAAAAGAAATTTCTCATTCTACACACACACACCAAAAATGATGGTGGAGGGGGGATAGATTGATCAAAACTTTTTTTTTTTAAAAAAAAAAAAAAAAGTTCTATTGCTTGGACAATTTTTGGCATGGTCATAGCTTTTCATAATGACAGACTATAGATAATTAATAGCTGATAGTGGAACATGATTTCTATTTCATGGAACAATCTTATTTCAGCAATATAAGAATCTTTGATATTGTGGGTGATTTTTTTTTTTTTTTTTTTTTTTATATAGAAGAAATTAGATTCAACTTTATCATTTGCCATGCTTGATATTAAAAGAATCCTTTGCTGAAATGAGGAGGTGGGGGAATTGCAATAATTTTGGGGAATAAGCTGAAAATATTTTTAAAATTATTAGAGATGAGGAAACATGTATCAAAATGGCCATAGCATCTTTATTATTCTTGGTATGTTTTGCAAAAAAATACAATTGAGAGAAGTCTGGAAACCCACTTCACTCTTG